AAAGGTAGGCGGAATGTCGTCGACTGGATAGTAGCACGTGACACGCTGTTTGCGATCAACCGGCAATGAACCGGCATCTACGTTGCGCTCCGCATGTCATCTTCGTCAGCCACTTCGCCCTCATTGCGGCTTATGTCCGTGTTATTTCTAATGCGAAACTGCTTTCTCGATTCTCAAATCTATTTGGACCCCTCCCCCGGATGAAACGACTTCGGGTCTTCCTCTAAGGCGCGGTAAGGCCGTGGTTCCCAGCCATGCCTCGGAGACGTCATACCAGTCTGGTGGGATACCGACCTTAAACACCTCAGCCGGCGGTGGACTTGCATCTGTTGAGGAAGCCGAAGGGGAACAGAACCAATGGGAAACTCGACATGGACTTCGTGTGGATGTATCGGCTGCTGCGGCATACTTGCTTGGCCCCATCTCTGGTACTCCGGCTCGTTACATGTCTTGGATGAGGATTCTAACTGTTGGCAGCCCTAGCGCTTCTTATTATTGAACGCAAAACGACTATGTCCGATTCCATGGTACGCAGTACCTGTCTGAACTGTGCACTTACTTACCGGCATCATTGCAGCATACCAGTCTGCATTACTAACAACACCGCTCGTTGTCGTGCGAATATTCGCCTCTTTGCTGCGGTTTCCCGGGTGGATGCGGACCATATTTACGATTCTCCTGCTGGGAGCCGAGCTTTACATGGCGTACGTGCTTGCAGCATGAGCGCCCGTCACCGGCTGACGCAAGGCACACAGTTTCAGGGCATTTATTGACGCATCTCACAACGGGCTTGCACGTTTTCAGGTTCCTTACATAGGGCCCATCGCCGCAAGGTGGCTGGCGGACGAGTGAGAATCAAGGACGAGTAGTTACTTTTGTACATTAGGACTCTGCTAATAACGATTTAGCATGTTACGATTCTAGGTTGTGGTGGTATACAGTAGTAATGTGATACAAATAGTGAGTGGTTGATACAGTGTATTGTGTCGCCGTTTCTAGAGCAGACACAGCTTCAACTGGCAAAGCAGGTCGCTCACTCCAGGCAAAAGTTGTTGCACGAGGGGGCCGAGAAGGTTCAATAAGCAGTCGATAAGGTTTTCGACAATGTCGAGGATCTTGTCGACAATACACTTGATGTCGTACAGAACTGAGTGGGTCAGATACAGGTGCACCGGTGGGTATATGCGCACTCACGGGGTGCAAGCAAGGGACCTAGCACGGGAATCCCAGCCACAATCACGACGACAGACTGGAGAATGCTCTTGTGCGCGTTGACAATGATTTTGAGGTATTGCTGAATATCGTTATTCTTGTCGAAGCAGGCCAATCCTGAATCCGCAGCGAGATCGGTCAACATGGACTGGAAGCTGGAGTAGTATTCTCGATACTCGATTAGCGCTGACTGGCATTCCTCGGGGAACTCTTTATCGTCCGGCGAGACAGTCTTGGCCTTAGCTGCGAGATCCTCTAGCGAAGATGTCAGATGGCAAACACATTGAGCGAGTATGTACACGCACTAAATTTCTTATCGTGCTTGGTGGCGGTGGCTGCATATTGACGGAAGCGTTGAACGACAGCGTCCTCGGTCTGGCGGCGCTCGAGAGAAGATAGGAGCACGGGGGAGACGCGAGGAGCAAGATCAGCGTCGGCGTGCTTACTCAGAACACGAGGAGCGAGGAGCGAGCTAGGCGAGATCTTTGAGGATATGGACGAAGCACCAGGCAGAGGTGACGCATTGACAGTGACCAGAGGCGCGGGGGACAAACCCGAAAGGGTAAGGAGTGAAGCGGCCTGCAAGGCAAGAAGGATTGATCGCATGATAGAGGGCATTCCAAAGTAGACGATTCGCGAAGGGCCTGTTGCGTCAAGAGATGAATGGAGCACGGTGCACTCGGGACGGAGATGACGGTAAGGGAAAGAGAGTGAACGATACGCGTCGATTCTTCTTATAAGTACGCGGAGTTTTAATTGCCCATTCTCACGGCTGTCAATACATGTCATGTGATCGTTACATTCTCGTGATGTTTCCGCGTCCAAGCGCAGGTGCTAACAGGCAATCAACTCGAAGTTGATCTGCTTGCGTTTACCCGTCGATGTCGACGAAGACTTGTAATCCATGACTGGTCATCTTCCGCTCTCTCGCGCATATGAACCTAGTGCATTAGGAGCAAATACGAGACACAATAACAGGTATGGGAGTCCAATCTATTCCGAGAAGATATATACCAGTCCAAGAGTTCAGCGAGTGTGACAAGAAAGAACGAGATACCCAGGAAGGGTGAGGAAGGGTGCTAGGAGCTAACAAAACGTGGAAGATAACAAACGTGGGAGACTGATGGAAAAATCAAGAGGTATGTGGAGATCAAAGCTTGTCGCAGGTGCGTCCGTCCTTGGACAGTTTGTAGCCGAAGCTGCAAGAGTGGACTGACGAGAGCATTAAGTAAAAGTACGCGCGCGACCAGTGGTGACTTACCGGCGCATTGACCCCGCTCACACCCGACATTCCAAGCTCCAGGGATAGCAGTACAATCTTGTCCTTGTCCGAGGGAAGCACATCCACCGCATGATTCAAGTTCGGCGGCGGTGTCGAGACACTCATAGTCGGTGGCGCTCATACCAGTGATTGGGCAAGCGTCCAGCCCGCGAGGGCAGCGAGGTGCAGCACGCTTGTGGTTGTGACGCTTCCAGTGACCACCGCCATAACCACCCGAAGGATGCGAAGAAGGCGGCGAAACTGGGCTGCTTGGCATACACATGTGAGAGCCCGAGGACCACGACCATTCGTTTTTGCACTGAGGCGGAGGGCTGCTCGGGGGAGTCGGGTGCTTGGGGGCACAGCAGCCCAGGTTCGTGGCCCAGTACCAGGTCGAGGGAGGGCAGTCGTGGCCCTTGGGGGGAGATGGCGGAGACGGAGGCCCTCCGTGAGGCAAACAGCATCCTTTGGGCTCATACCTGATACGAGTCAGTGCTATTGTTCTCTGTCAACTCTACCCAACGTGCGCACCAGAATTCGCTACTTTGGCAGCTCGAGCCGCCCGAGAAATTCGAAGCCACCAAGGGCAAAGCAGTAGCAAGAACGAGCAAAGCAGCACCGAGGCGGGTGAGGACAGTCATTTCTAGTAAAGAGGGTGGGCGAACGAGCGACTGAGAGTTTCAAAGGAACAAGGGAAAGATGAACAATCCCACCGACGCATGCCGTGTCTATATATACATTCCTGATTGATATCCCCGGGCTTCTGTCCGCGTTTTGTTTTACGGCCCACGGCAGATTTGGCATGGGAACAATTTGAACATAAGGGTGTGCATGCATCACTTACGAATCAGTCACTTACGTGTGGCGGGCGGACGTTTACCCAAGGCTGGTACATTCATCAGGAGAACATCTACCATCGAGGTGTCGACAGCGATGGAGATGTGCGACGGTTTCATCGTTCTTGTCACCATCAGCCAGCAGCATGCTTGTCCGATCTTTTTCAGCTTCCGAAATTGATGCTCCTCGGACGGCGGACCGCAGAATCGGGCATGAAAGAAGAGAATTATTCATTAAAGTTGAAACTGTGTGTACAACATTGGGTTTGTATCTCATGATCTAGGGACCCACGATGAGAAGTCTGGTAGCGATAGGGAAAGAAGTAGCACCTCACTATGCCGCAATCGCCTTTTGCAGCGCTCGGGCTGCGAAATATCGAACATCTGCGTCCGAGTCGTTTTTCTGATGCTCAAGCACAGGCACGATCCTCGCGCGCACAAAATCACTGCCGCCGGGGGTCGGGCCAAAGGTCAATGCGAGCGTCTCCAGGCACTTGGAGACGTTGAACCGAATGTTGGGAATGGGATCAGAGGCGAGGGAAACGAGAGAATCGATTATGTCGCTTTGAACGATTTCAAGGTTCAGAGAAGGCGTGATCGTCTAATGAGAACGCTCAGTACAAGTGGCATATACTCCTGCACAAAACACAAACCGTGATTGCCTGGACCGTGGTCATCCTGAACAGATAGTTGGGGTGCTGTCCCATCCCCATCACCTTCGGGACGATCTGGACTCTGGCCCAGTCCACGCCGAAGACCTCGGTCAATTTCTTCAAGTTCATATTGGCCGCTTCCCGAATACTGAAAACTGTGTCGCCCAACCAGGACATGCAAAGATTGCCAAGCTGTTCGTCAAAGAAGGGTTTTCCGAGCTGGGTGGCCAACAAGGGTATGTATTCAATGATTGCTTGGCGAACTCGCCATGACTTGTCTTCGGCGAGCTCGACAATCGCAGGCAGTAAGGTTTCAGACAACAGTTCGATCCCGATCACTGGTATGACGTCAGTAACGAGAGCAACGCGCAGGGAGACCAACAAACCGTTGTTGACGGTCTCCAATTTACTGATGATATTCAGTCGCACTTCGGGGAAATCGTCTTTGAGAAGGTGGAGGAAAAGCGGAAGAAGGTGCTCGATGGTGGACTCCTTTCCAAGCAGAGGAGCCAGGCCACTGATTTGAGTGGCCAGAGCGGCGCGAACATGCTGCGAAGTGTCCTGAGAGAGATCTCGAACACAGGGAACAATCCGGGCCAGGATCACATCTTTCTCTATCAGCTTGGAAAAGCCTGTCGAACTAATCAGCGCATGCACAAGCTCAAGTGGAATTTGATACCCGGAATCTGTCCCGCTGCAGCAGTCCTGACCTCGGCTTCGTTGTCTTTGAGTAGTTGAACGTATTGCGGAGTGAGTTCTTCTCGCACTAGCTCGGCACCGACGGCATCAGCCATCTGTGGACATCAGGTCAGACGTTGAAGCTAGGAAATAAGCCAGCGAAACCTCGTTGAAGTGATTGGCAGCCATGTATCTAACACGCCAGCTTTTATCAGTCGAATTCGTGCGCACAGACTTGGCCAATTGCTCTTTGACGTCAGCCGGAGACATCCTCTTCGCCAATGCAATGCAATCCTCGACGGTGAGCAACCGAACGGAATCTTGATCGTCATTCTGGAGTCTACGGTAGATGGCAAGTCCGTCTATGAGAACGTGTTCAGGGGAGAATTCGGCGACAAGTTGCTGCAGATAATTCGTCAACTCGGCGTTATAATCAGTAGAAGAGACGCACCCCAAGCCATTTCGCAGCCGCCCTCCGCACCATGGGAGTGTCATCCGAGGCCAAAGCCATATAGGCTGTTCTCAAGTCGTCTTGAATGGGGGGAGAGACCTTGGCGTACACAGCAGCGTACAAGGCGGCAGAAGAGGTCCTCGATGTGAACCATTCTCCTTGGGACAATCGCTTCAGGAGAGGAATATAGAATTCCTCCACTTGAGCCTGAGAAAGCACACTGGCTACTTTCGTGATGGATTCGGCGGCCTCAAGATAAGTGAGTGCAAGGGCGTGCCCCTCACGGACAAGGACTGACCTTATCCCGCACCAATGTCTCTTCCACAGCAGACAGATTCTCCAAAGGAGTGAGCAAAATATGCGCGTATTCCTTCCCGCCAATGTACTGCTCGAAATTGCGGCCCAGCTCCTCCGCCAAGGCGAGAAGAACTTCGTCCTCGTCATCAACCGATTCTTGAAGGAACGGCACGAGCTCGTCGCGTGCACGATCGGAGCCGAGAGCCAGTGCAATTGTTGGTATACTGTGAATGGCGTTCAAACGGAGCTGGACGTCTTCAGAACGGAGCTCATCCATGAGGATGGCAATCGGCGCAATCTTGGACAGTGCTTTCAGTATCAAACGACTCCATGGAAGTGAACGACCCACGTCATCACCGGTATCCATGGCGGTAGCTTATTCTGCGTAGATGAAGGGATTTCAAAGAGGAGGCAGGTGGGTTGAAATGTGTTCGACGCTTGGGACAACGGCGATGCGCGTTGGCCACACCAAGAGAGATTCTGATCACGTGTAACTGTTATCACTCTTCCCCGCACGCGGTGAACTTTGTGAGTGTGGTCCAACAGCGACCCATCGGACTGACCCCGCCCCCTTTCCAAACTCATGTTCGTATCTCAGAGGCGTCTCCATTCAAGTCACTTGAGCGATCTCATACAATGGCCAAAATCGTCTTGAAGCATCCTAAAGTAGCCCATCCCTCTTTCACGATCTCCGGAATGCTCAATCTCCTCTTGCTCAGGGCTCATCAGTTGAACTGCTTCTATACGGTGCTACGATCTTATCCTGGAAAAGTCCCTCTGCAGGGGACTCCACTCCGACGGAGCGGTTGTTTGTGTCTTCGACAGCTTTCCTGGACGGCGCGGCTTCCCCTTTTGGCGCGTTTTAATTATCCTGAGACTCGTAACAGGGAGCAAACCAGTCCGAGGCGGTGTTCCTGTCGTATTCCCGTGCTTTGGAGCCCCTGCACACCCTGAACACATGAAGCTTTCCCAAGTAAATGCGGCCACTGCCACAGTCTGTCAGCGTTGAGCGACTGTATTCATTCTATCTGACAGCATGGCTTTGCGCGGAATTCCATCTGGCTTTGGGATCAAGTCACTAAAGAGGAAGACGGCAGGGTCGCTGTTACCCTTAGTAAGTGGACAGCCGCTACCGACCATTGTGCCTGGTTTAATGTCCTCCCTAGCCCTTGAGCCCACCGAAGCTATCAGATCAATCTATGAGCGTCCATTCCATCTTACCTTTGAGGTTTCGCTGGGTGAATATGACCTTTCCACGGAATTGCACGTCAAAAACACTGCGACTGCTACGGATTCTACTCCGAATTATCTCGAATTTCAAGCCCTCTTCCACAATTACATTCTCGTTGCCCCAGCTGACGTCGGCGACGTCCGGGTTACCCCCTTGCAAAACCTTACGTATTTTGACAAGACGGAGGCGACTGACGAAGGAAAGGCCACTGGCAAGATCGAAAGCAGAGCTGGCGTGGATGTCAAGAAGTTTACCGATTCCGTTTACCAAGATGCTCCACAAAATTATGAAATTACGTGGCCAGGCTCTGGCATCGCCATCAAAACGACCAATCTGAAAGATGTGGTTGTCTGGAATCCTCAAGCCGAAGCTGGAAGCAAGATTGGAGATATGGAGAAGGGAGGCTGGTGCGTTTTCTATGTGACCTTCGGTAATTTGATGATAATGCAACTTGTAGGGAGAAATTCATCTGTTGCGAGCCTGGTCAAGTCCGGGGCTTTGCCAAGGTGGCTCCCGGAATGACCTGGTCTGGGAAGCAAGTCATGTCGGTCATCCAGCATGCCAGACGGCATCAGTGAGTCGCAGAAACACAATAGATTAGAAAATCAAGTCAAATGTAACAACACATAGATCATCAATGTAGATTTATCAAATTTAAAGCCAAGTTTACTTGTCACTCTTGTACAATCAGAAGTCCAACTCCGTGTTACCTTTGCAACTTCCCAAATTGAGGTTGGAAACCGAAGTTGACAGCCTACCTCGCTAATAACGTGACACACATTGTGACACTTGTCCGCAACGACCCCCGCAACCATGTCTTGATGGCGTCCATTCTACAAGTACAAGTCAATCAAGTGCATATGACCTCGCTGTCTCGTCCCATCCGTTATCTAAATTCTTTGGTCTCCAGATCGACCACTACGTGACGCGACCAGGACCACTAGACAACTCTGAATCTTTCCAAGTTCCCGTGATTCGTGTCTATGGGTCATCTTCGGCCGGAGTCAACTGCTGTGTGCATGTACATCAAGTGTATCCCTATTTCTTCGTTGAATACGACGGCAAATTACGGATTCGTCACGGTCCGTGTTTCTGTTGAATAGTGATACATCGGCGAGCTGACACCTGGGAAAGTCAACCGTTACATCCACAAACTTAAACATTCCCTTAATCATTCAATTGCTCTTTCTTTGAAAAGGGACTTGGACTCTTATAAACCGGACTTTGTGCGCAGCATCATCCTAGTGAAAGGCCGGTGTTCTCTAAGATGGTTGACACTGTTGTCCTGACGTTTCTTCAGGCGTCCACTTTTATGGATTTCACTCGGCATACTCTCCCTTCCTCAAAGTCTACATCAACGATCCCGCTTTCTATAATCGCGCTGTGACCATCATGCGTTCCGGATCAGTTCTTAGAACACACTTCCGGATATTTGAAAGCCATCTCAGCTTCACCTTGCAGTTTATGGCCGATTTCGGGCTTTATGGATGCGGGACATTGGAGCTGAGCCATGTCCTGCAACGAGAGCAGACCCGGAGCGACGATGACGAAGACGTGCCTAGTTTTGACTGGGACCCTCGCCCTATGTGAGGCAAACGAAGATGCCGCTAGAAGTAGATGCCGCAGGCTGTCATATTCTCAATCGACATCGCATCGGCGCTCGAAACATCCATCACAAACTTGTGATCACCGCTCCGGGGCCCCCAACCCTTCCATCGGAGCCACTGGTGCTGAGTGTTCGCGAGCTGTGGGACGACGAGCGAAAACGCCGAATCGCCCGGGGGCAAGATCCGTCTCCTGAGATGCCCAAAGACCCGAGCGAATCATCTCGAAGCGCGCGAAGTGAATGGGTTGCGGAAGCACGCTGGTGGCAGCAAGTGCACCAACGCATTGAAGCCGAGCGGTCGCTCGTCCCCACACCACAAACGCAGAACGACTGGGAAAATTGGGTTATGACTACGTTCGAGAGCATCGAAGCACTGTGGGAGGACCCCTGGAGAATATGGAAGCCTGTGATACCCGCTGCCCACGAAGCTGAGGCTCTCGAAGGCGACCCTGAGCCTGAGGAAGACATCGATATCGACGAGTCTTTTTCGGCCGATCACCTGAGCCAGCTCGTCCAGAAAGAAGCTGAATGGCAGCGAGAGTTAAACCACGATAGCCCCCCGCCCGAAGAGCAGGACGGAGAGGAGGATCTGGGCAGCCTTCTGGAAGAAGAGAGTGATCCAGACTCTGACGACGACAAAGTGAAGGCGGAATCAATGCATGTATGATATGCTACGGCGCACGGAAGAAAACTGACGAGCCTATCGCTGCAGTGAGGACCCCTTTCAAAGCGACCTTGCCGGAGAGGTATTATCATTATCGAGGCAAGTGTGACTGATCACCGCTGGAATGTGTTTTTGAGCCACGCGACAGTCCTCCTGATTTGGATCACCTCGCCGCATTCGAAGATCCGCCCTCTCCCTCGCGGTGAGTGCGCGCACAACTACAGAAGTTGATTGATCTGATGGCCATGCAGCCCGAGCTCGCAGGACGTTGAAGCTCTGCAACTAACGGGAAACAGGTAAAGCGATCTCGTGCGTATGGAAGCTGATCCTATGTCTCGCCCAGTCCAACGCGATCTCCGTCTTTCGATGTCACGAGCGAACCGCCACAGAAGAAACGCCGTCTCGAGACCAGCCGGATGTCTTTCCCGACAGGTCGGATCGCGGCGCACAAAGCCATGACGATCGTCGCGGGAGAAAGCAAAAGGGTCAGCCTGAATCAGCACATTTATTCTCTGCCTGCCCCGTCAGTGCTCGACTTGACGAATACGCTCGATACGTTCAACATAGCCACCAAGCTCTATCAAAGCCCCTATTATTCGATCGACGCTGACGTGCCAGATAAGCCTCGCGAATACGGAGGGTTCATCTTCCACCTAGCAGGCAGCAGCGATACAACCGAGTACTTGGACGAATGGCAGGGGCACCAGCCAGTGGACAACGACTACCGGGAGCCGACGGATGTGTTTCCAGGGGGGTGGGAGTATGCGAAGAGCCCGCCCAGTGCTAGACAGGTCAAGAACTGGTTGCTGTCCGAGCGCGGGAAAACAACCGCGAAGAGGCGTGGGAGCGCGCGCTCTCAGGTGAGCATGCTTTCGAAGCGCGATTGACTCATACGAGTCCAAGCTAAGATCGAAGGCCCGACGATGGCTAACATCTATGGATTGAAGACACTGGCTGTCAAGGGAGATACTGTTAACTCAGTCCGCGAGAAACAAAGCATGACCATCCTCGCTCTAGAGGTGTACGGTATGTGCAAGCCCAGATGGATGGGCCATCTGCTCATCGGTTTCCCAGCACCGTCATTGAAGCATCCCTCTTCGGAAACAGACGCGATCGTCGCTGCCTTCTATGCGTTTCAAGACGGAAATTCATCCGTGTCTCGCGGCATGGTCATGACTTCGGACCAACAGGAAAAGTTCGCTTCCGATGTCACTTGCGTAACCGACGAACTGGACCTTCTGAATCACATCGTGGACCTTGTGCTGAAGCTGGATCCGGACATTCTCACGGGGTGGGAGATCCAGACGTCCTCATGGGGCTATCTGAACGCTCGCGCTGGTGAACATGGTTTGCTCCCCGTTGTGCTGTGTCGTGCTATCAGCTTAGCTGAATCCAGGTCTTGATATCATTGATCTGCTCAATCGTGCACCCTCCAAACAGGTCGACAACCAGTCCCAGTGGGATGTGAGGCATACATCGACCTTCAAGATCGTGGGCCGCCATGTTCTGAATCTGTGGCGTGTGATGCGCGTCGAGATTACGCTCAATACGTACTCTTTCGAGAACGTGGTGTTCCATGTGCTTCATCAGAGGTGGACGCAGCATTGGTTCTCTACTATTCTCGTGCGAGCTTACGCTTTCACAGAATTCCCAAATATAACTCCGCCACACTGCGGTCCTGGTATCAGGACTCGGTCTTCGCCCACAAAGCGAAAGTGTTTGCCTACTTCTTGGACAGAACCTTTATTGTACTGCGTCTGCTGGATGAGACGGAAGTGATCACCAAGACCGCGTGAGCGTTGTCTGCTGGTCAGCTTCGTCGCCCTTGACATCAACCAGGGAATTTGCCCGTGTGTTCGGGGTTGATTTCTTCTCTGTGCTCAGTCGAGGATCTCAATTCAAAGGTGGCCCGCTCTTGTCGAGGTATCTCAATCCCAGCTAACCGTTTCCCAGTCGAAAGCTTCATGTTCCGCATAGCGAAACCAGAGAGCTTCGTGCTTCTCTCCCCTAGTAAACAAGACGTAAGTGACTGTCATGCAGACCGTTCGTTCTGTAACTTTCTACAGGTCGGACGGCAGAATGCAGCAGAGGCCATGCCACTGATCATGGAGCCTCAGTCCGCGTTCTACACAAGTCCAACGCTGGTGCTTGATTTCCAGAGCTTGTATCCGTCTATTATGATTGCCAACAACGTAAATGTCTCAGTTGGTCTGAGTGGATAACAACACTGAACATCGAGCCCTAGTATTGTTATTCGACTTTTCTTGGTCGTATCCAAGAGTTCCAAGGGCGCCAGAAATTTGGGGTGACCGACCTCGATCTCCGACCCGGCGTCATTGAACAGCTCAAGGAGCACATCATCGGCGAGTGCAAGAGCGATGCGTCTGTCAAACTTGGCCGAGCTGATCGACGATGACAGTGAGCCCCACTGGCATGATGTTTGTGAAACCGCAAGTGCGACAGGGCTTGCTGGGGCGGATGCTCGTTGAGCTTCTGGACACGCGAGTGATGGTCAAACAGGCCATGAAAGGGATCAGAAATGACAAGGCTCTGAAGCGCGTGCTCGATGCCAGGCAACTGGGCTTGAAATTTATCGCCAACGTATATGGGAATCCGCCCCCAAGCTGTGTCTCACTGATTATGAACCAGGTCACTTATGGGTACACCAGCGCATCGTTTTCAGGTCGGATGCCTGCTGTGGAAATCGCTGATTGGTTCGCCATCTCATCTGTCGTAGGCGAGTGTGCTGATCTGTCCAAGTATCGTCCAGAGTGGGAGGGAGACCTTGGAGAGGGTTCGTCGTTCGATTCCGTGTCTGACCATATTTGCTCATCGTCCCAGGCAATCGACACAATCAATCGCACAGAAAAGTGGGGGGCACAGGTTGTCTACGGCGATACCGACTCCGTCTTCGTGTTGAGTGATTTTTACAATTACAATATGAATCTCACATGTTTGAAGAAACTTGCCAGGGAGAACGAAAGATCAAGCGTTCCGTATTGGTCAGGAAATCGCAGAGACGATAACCCGCAGGTGAAGGACAAGTGGCGTCTCTCGAGACAGCGGTGACGAACGATCTCGCAGCAATCCCGTCCCCATCAAACTCAAGTTTGAAAAGGTAGAGCTGGTTCTGATTCCACCGTTGCATCGTCGGGCTTCATCAAATGCTAGGTCTATCTCCCATGTGTATTGCTCGCGAAGAAACGCTATGTCGGATTCAAGTACGAGCATCCAGACGACGTTGAGCCCGTGTTCGACGCAAAGGGCATCGAAACGGTCCGGCGCGACGGCGTGTTGGCCCAGAGGAAGATGACCGAAACCTGTCTCAAGTGCGTCATCCAGCCATGCGATTCCAGATGTGCACATCCACTTTCCCAGAATGCTGTTTCGCACACAAGATCTCAGCGAGATCAAGGATTACTGCTACCGGTGCTGTGAACTGCAGCCGTCGCTTAACGTCTCGCTAATCGTCAGGCAGGTCATGGGCCAAGCTGCTCGAGGGTAAAGCCTCGGTGGAGGACTTCACATTCGCCAAAGAAGTACGGATGGGGACGTATAGCAACAACGGCCCGCCACCTCCAGGCGTCGCTCTTGCCGCTAAACAAGCCGTCATCGAAAATAGAGAACCTCAGTACAGCGAACGGGTCCCCTATGTCATCTCCACCGGTCCTCCGGATTCTCGGCTGGTCGACAGAGTGGTCGCACCGCTCGACATCCTCCGTAATCGGTATCGCGCTGTTTTCCTTCTGGTTATGGACTCAAGTTGATTCTGCGCTAGTCATCTGCACCTCGACGCCGACTATTACATCACGCGCGTGCTCATCCCCCCTCTGGATCGTATCCTCAGCCTCACCGGAGCCGACGTCCGCAAATGGTACATGGACATGCCGAGGCCGAAGTCGGTGGACGCACAGTTGCTGTCGCCCAGCAAAGCCAAGGCTGCCCAGATTGAAGACAACGGAAACAACATCTACGAGCACTTTTACAATTCGGTCTGCGTTGCCTGTGAAGCCCCGGCATATGAAGGTCCGTGCGGCGCTGCTGTATCCCAGATTCAGGACGAAATAATCTTTTCAGAGTTATGCTCGGAATGTTCGGTCAACCCCCAGAGAGCACTGCCCGGCATTCTGTTCAAGATTCGCAAGGGCGAGAAACGAGTTTTAGAAGCACATCAGGTCTGTGGGTCATGCTCAAACTCCCCAGCGGGAGATTCCATCGAGTGCGAGTCATTGGATTGCTCGTGGATGTACAGACGAACGAAAGCGGTTCACAAGTTGGATTTCCTAGAGAATCTGGCCAGGTTACTCGAAGCTGACATATAACGCTATGAGAACATCTACTGTTACACAGTTTGGTACGGTTGGGCTGCCGGTTGGGCTGCCTGGGGAGGAGGAGTCGTTTGGGCGGCTGCCGGAGCGGGTGCAGTCGGTCTCGAATACTGAGCGGGTCGCTCGTCGTCGAAGTTCTGGTATCCGTTGTTTCCGACAGAACCGAAACCTCCGGGCATACTATCCCATACTTTATAGTGGTTAGTCGAGTTATCTGATCGGAAGGCTTCGTCAGGACGCACCAGTGGCACCACCGAGATCATTTCCCCGAATATTGAGGGAACCGAACCCAAGACCGCCACCGCGCTGGCGCAATGCTGGCAAGCAATAAGCGACGCTGTTTAGTTTAAGCACAAGACATCGCACCCAGTCCGAAAGAGATGAAGGCCGGCAATTTGAGGAGGACGAGGAGGAGCGACAGGAACCGAATAAAGCCATTTTGCGAGTTCCCAATCATCCAAATGATGTCAAAGGGAATGGACGCGCCCAGAAGAGCTGTGTAAGGAATGGCATCGCGTACGAGACATATTGCGGCAACTACGGACCTGTGAACTGCAAGAGTTGAAGCGAGATCAAGCGACAGTTGCGTGCAGTGACTTACGATATGGAGCGCCTGACCTACGCCGGCTTCTTGCTGCTGGACCAAAGTCCCAAAGAGCATGACAGGAAGGTTGTACGGCGGAGAAGCAAAGGGGGATAGAAAGAAAGACAGAGCCTGGACGCGTCGAGACGGTGAGACGCAGATGGAACCTCAGACGGACTTCCACACGCACTGTTAGAGCCAGCGAGAGCTTGGACGGGTCAAGGCCTTGAACAAAGTCCATCTTGTATTCCTAACGAGTGGTTCTTGGGTGCAGGTAACGAGACGAGACGATGCGCAGCTGAAGCCGCAGTTAGGTGGGTGTCAATGAGAGAGAGAATTTGATGATGTCATCACGCGACTGCATCATAATCAATCTACGCTTGCGCGCGACTCAACATGGCCGACTCTGTGGAATTCGACACGATCTACCCCGCCGATTCCGTGGAATTCTGCCCGCATCCGAGTGCAAGCGATCTGCTCGTCTGTGGGACGTATAATCTCGTGAAAGATGCCCCCACAGCGGAGGACTCGACTCAAAAAAGGATCGGACAATGTCTCCTTTTCAAGATATCAGAAAATCCGACCCTGGCTCTGTAGGGGGATCTTGAAAGTTAAAAAACACCCAGCCATCTTATCTGGAATCTTAGCAACCAGGTGCAAGCTATCAACTTGCCAGCCGTTCCCGACATGAAATGGTACCTCGTTGATCTGGGCAGTTTCTTAGTTTAATCGCCGCAGGTGCCATACACCTCCATCCTCAGCTCCACTCCTTGGAATCGCCGACTCCGAAGGGAATGTGTCCCTGCATCAATGGCAGGAGGGAAAGGTAACCGACCCACATCGGCGCTGCCAGCCACTGACCGACCAGTCCAGCTGCGAAGCCATTCATCGTTATCCTGTGCTCCGCAAAATGTGCTGTCCCTCTCTCTGGACTGGTCGAATCGAAGAACGCCAAGGTGGCTGGCTCAGTCCGGTCGGCGGAAACGTAACTGACGTCCGCCCATAAGCGACTGGGGCTCGATGGTGGTGTCTCTGTCCAATGGAGCGCTCTGCTTGCTGCGTCCAATTGAAGGGTCGGAGAGCGGGCTCGCGATTGTGGACACGTGGCACGCACATGATTTTGAGCCGTGGATTGCTGCTTGGGACTACTGGGATGCGAACGTGATATACTCAGGCCCGTCTCTATCAACCCATCGTCACCCGAATCCTCCATTGATGGCTCCAGTGCAGGCGGCGACGATCTGAAGCTCAAGGCATGGGATATACGCCAAGGGTTTACGCAGCCTACATTCACAAACAAGAGGCTTGTTTTTACAGCAGCAGCGCCGACCCGCATCTGACTGAAGTTCGTTGTCTGAAGATTCGATGCGGGTGTCACCACGATACAAAGCCATCCACACAAGGAGAATCAGTTGGCCGTGGGAAGGTGAGCTGATCACGCTTTACAACAAATGCAGACGTGAATCAAAAGTCGCTCAGCTACGACAACACGGTCCGGTTGTTCGACAAACGCAAGCCGTCGGTTCCGTTCGCACAGTCAGACGTCGGTGGGGGTGTATGGAGGGTAAAATGGCACCCGTCTCCGGAGCGAAAAGACGATTTGCTGGTGGCTTGTATGCACGACGGATTCAAATTAGTCCGCTTTGACGCAGGGGATCCCGCGATCGTGACGAGATTCGACCGTCACACCTCTTTGGCGTATGGAGCAGACTGGTCCTTTTCGGACGCAAATGCGGCGACAACCGTGGCCAGTTGTTCATTCTATGATCACAAATTGCATCTCTGGCGGGCCTAAATACACAGCCGCCGTCTACTCGTTTCCCTCGCTGGTCTTGGACCTGGCGCGAAGCACAGAAGCCACATCTGGGCCTCGCACGATGAATCGCAGTCCCCACTTGGACAGCCCCCGTAGAACATACGGATGGTGATTTGCTGCTGTCAACAAAGAGGACAAGGACAGCACAAACGCGAGCCTGAACTCCGTGAGCACGGACCGGAACAAGAGACAGAAGACCCACTGCTCGACTATACGAACACTGCGGTTGGATCCACGCAACCAGGCGTGGGGAAGACATGCCCTGACAGCTTTGGGCAAGACATACAGCGCCATTTCGCCCCTTCTGCGCCCGTTCTCGAGAAAGATGCTTGAACCGCAGACCAAAGATCCAGCGAGAATACACCCATATGAGCCATCCCAGAAGTTGTGAGAAATAGAGGGAAACAGGCGAGCCAGCACAAGTGTGCGAGTTAGGCAGACAGCATAGTAGTATGATGCCACAAATGTAGATAGGAACGTCGCGCTGCGGAAAACACCTAGGAGAGACTCCAAGGTTCGATGGGGATCCAAGAGAGATCGTGGTCGACTCAATAGAATCGGCACAAATTGCACCTGACTTCTTCAGAAGCTGGCTAAAATAAGCGCTCGGAGCTCACCGGAAGATACAGCACGATAGCCTCCATCAGAGCAACCAACCCTCGAAGACCAGCATTGGCGGTGCAGCTGTGCGACAGACCCAAACTGGATCCCACTGTGCCATGGACAAGTTGACACGGTATCCCGGCGACACCGGCACGTCCCGTGACTCCTAATGCTCTCCAGGCTTGATCGGCCTCGTGGCCAAAGGCTGGCAGCTGGATAGGATCGCCCCATGAGGCAGGGTATCCGAGATCTCGAGCATAAGTCGTAAGAAGCGGGGAGGGCGGACCCTTGCGGTACAGCCAATCCTTCGTCCGTATGGCCCGGAGTGCGTCGAGCAGGCGAGTATCGGCATTCGCCAGCGCATTGATCCATTTCACGTATGATTTGGGCAACCTCTGCGGTGCATAGAAAAAGCACCACATGATCCTGGACGACGTTATACCCATCACCGGCTGCGGATCTTAGTTGCTCGGACTCACCGAGCGCTACATGCCCAGAACACGAAGGCGTCTATTCGTGTTCGCAGGAGTTGACGTTTGGTATATGCTTCGTCTCGAGGGGCCCGCGTAAAGCTGGTGTCCCCTGCATCACTCTCTCGTCGGCTACCCGATCTCCTTGCGACAAATGACTGCACAGCAGCATCGAGAGCGCGGACAAACACCAGGAGAGTCAGATCCAGCGTTTTTGAGCCACCCTTGGTCGATCGGAATCGTGCACGCCCTGCTTGCAGGAGCCAGAGGCCCGCCGAGGTGGAAAGTATGTTGCTGATGAACGTCTTCTGCGCCGATGATACCCGCATGTATTTGAGCCGTTCTTTTATCCACGCGGCGGAGTTGGATAGCGGATTTTGTGTTTCCGAGAGATCCCACTCCGAACCATCTAGAAGTCGCCAAAATTCTCGAATGAATGAACCACCACCGATGGCGACCGTAATGGAGAAGGCGAAACCTGTCGCTCCAAATTCGCGTGAGAGGACGCGTATTAGTTCATTCAAGTCGTGTTTCTTCGATCGTTTCAGGAATGGGGCGAGAGCGGGAGTGAGAGACAGGCAAAGCGCCAGTGTGTAAGTTCGGATGGCGACTTGGGTTGGATGTGACGAATTTTGGGGTATAATGCTGCCCAGCCCTTCTAGGAGGCCCAATAAGCGTCGACAGACATTGGGCCTCAGCTCGGATGGCCGTCGAGCAGCCTCTGACATGGTCAAGACCGAAGCGTACGATGAAGCGCGACATCAAGCATGTGATATAATTTGATGGCTGAATACATGGTTTGTGTGCACCGGCGCTGTACGAAGACGTACGAAGCGCCGGATAACGAAGGTGGTAGGTATATTATTATACAAGGGTATTAGACTACGGGACAGCAAACCAATTGGGTGTGTACCTAGGGTTGATGTCGAACCCGGCCGTCGGTGTTGCGACCAATCGAATAAGTTATGACTGGCTTATCACACCCGTGTCATGGCTGCTTTGGGCGGGATTATGTTTCCATCGTTCTTCTCGGTGCTGGGATTCAAGTAGCTGAAGAAGTTGACCTCGGAAGAAATCGAGCGGATTCCTGTTTCCAGTTGCGACAAAACGCCCACAGTATCGAGCATCTTCACAAACTTGGCCCGAGACTCGGGGAATATGAAGGACTGAAGAATCGCATGGGTCTTTGGCAGTAAGTTAGCTCAACACATGTGGGATTGTTGAGACTACTGACATGTTCGCGCAGGACAGGGATGATATGGGCTATTGGCGGAGGTGTATGAGGGACAGAAACCGGATCAGGGACCGCAGGGCATGGAATATCATCATCGTCTTCCGTCCATTGCCTCTTTGGATTCCGCTTGGTGCCCTCAGGTGGCGTGTAGCCCAGCCATCTCGCCCACAACTCGAGGATGCGACCATCCCGTCCCGCACATCTCGTCGCGAAACGGCATCTATCCCAGTTCACCTCGGCATTGTCGTCCATCCAAATGAGTTCCAACTCTCTCTCAAGCATAGAAGCGGAATACGAATCGTCTTCTGCGTTGCTCTCTGGCATGGAAGGAGACCCAGACGACAGCATCGACATTCGCTTCTTGACAGCGCTGTTTGAGACGCTATTTGGAACACTGAGAGGAGTAGATGATTCCGTGGTTTTTGAAAGCTGTGGCGTGACCGGTCGGACCATCAGACGCATCCATCGCCTCCGCCTGACCCAACTGAAAGCTCCAGCCTGAGGGTGCCATTTATGTTCTCGGAAAGCCCAATTGTATTCGAAGCCGTCTAGCTGTACCTCTCCAGAGTCCGAGCGCATATCCACCATCCAGGGAGACAACCATGCCCATGCGCCATCAGGGAGAGGATACATCGCCAGAGTGAAGTTTGGTTGTCGAGATCGACGAGGGTCGGCATCAGGAGCGGTGAATGGCAGAGGATCTATCGGTAGAAGAGAAGACCGGGAAAAGTAGAGGGATGAGCCGATTCTGAGACCTCTTTGGTTCTGGCAACCGTGTAAGAGGGCAGACAGTACCAGACCTCGCCAAGAGTGGGAGGCGCTCACCTCAAAAACTACAGCCCAGCGGTATTGTTCATCGTCAATGGAATAGTTTGAGGAAGGGCCGACGTCAATTACCGCATCGGAGCCCGGTGGTGGAAAAAGTTGGGTGGTAGCGAGGCTGGGTGATGAACTAGATTGGACCGAGGACGTGCTGCGTCTTTTAGGTCGCAGGAAACCGAATTTGGGCTTTGTGAGACGTGAATCAACGAGAGCTTTCAAGTCTGAAGATGAGACTTCAGTCGGTGGTGGTCGTGGAGATGGAGAAAGGGACATTGACGTTCTAGCGTGCCGAAGAAGCGAAGCAGTACTTAGAGTATTATGATGTCATACTCGCAGGTCCGGATGTCCGATATTGCCGAACAGTCTCTTTCCTTCAAGCCGCGATGATGCGAATTCATGCCCGCTTTCTCAGCTCACTAGCAGCCCGCTGCTCAACATGCTCGCATTCTCTACCAACAGCCTTGCCTGCATGCAGCCAGTGTGGCTCAATCTCGCCTGTTCCCCCAACGACGGCCCATCATGACTTGTTCAATCTTCCAATTTCTCCCAATCCATTCGTCATCGACCAGACACTCCTGAAGCGCCGGTTTCGAGAGGCACAGGCAGCGTGCCATCCCGATTCTTGGACTTCCAAGGGCCAAGTGCGTCACAAGGCATCCCGTGTGGCAAGCTTCTCAGAATGTCCAGCATAAGCAAGACATCGCGCAAGGTCTTTCATCTCGTCTCAATGAAGCATATCAGACCCTTTCAAATCCTCTCCGTCGCGCGGAGTATTTGCTTGAGAAGCAAGGGATGCCAATATCTGAGCACGAGACCTTGGAAGACATTGATTTCATCACCGAGATAATGCAGACACGAGAGGACATTGAAGAAGCAGAGGATTCGACAGCGCTCTCCCTTGTTGCCGATCAAAATCGAGGTGCGCGATACTTAACTTCGGGGATTGACTGACCATCGACCCGTTGACAGCAACCATAGACCGGACGGTAGAAGAGTTAGCAAGTGCTGTGGGGTCTGGATCTTGGGACAAGGTCAAAGAGGAGGCTGTCCGTTTAAAGTATCTGGAAAGTATAGACGTGGCTGCTAAGCAAAAGGCAGAAGAAATAGGGAGTTGATACTATCTCAGTCCACTTGTTCTGTGAGATAGACATGATCTATGCGACTAGATTCGGACCGAGAAAGTAAAAAATCCTGCGTGACGAAGATACTGTCACACTTGCTCTTTGCTTGACCAGTTCTCTGTCCCTGTCTATGAGCTTTGGGTTGATCGTCCAGCACAGGCGTCGCCTTCTCATGCAATTTGAGAAGCACAAGAGAGACGCATCGACTGCTGTGAAACGTTCCTTTGCTCAATCATCACCTCCAATCATCGACTCCCCTTCCACTTCTAAACTTCCACGTTTCCACAACTCCCCGTCTATCTCCTCCTCCAAGATGCCGGACAAAAAAGCGCATCCCTCTTCCTCGTCTTCGCGTCGACCATCTTCCTTCCGGCACAATAAGGGCCATTCTTCACGCGCACCCCCACAACCTTCCCGGCCGAAGTATCCAGTCGTCGAGGGCCCGCTTCATGACAGTGCATACGTCGAGTCACAACATGGAGGCAGAGTCAAACTATCTTCGAAACATCTTTCCGCTCCGAAAAGTTCAGTTAACAACTGGGCAGCACAAGTCTTGGGTAAAATCCCTCAGTACGAGACTGGCCAAGTGGTGGTGGGTGGTCGTGAAGTTTGGAGGTCAGTCATAGTTTCATTGTGAAGGGACGCGTCTGATATCTCAATAGAACTACCGTTCAGTTGGAGACCACCCCACCTTTGACTGGAATCGGCGACGACACAAACAAGTCAAATTCAGTGTCTACAGCAGCTCTATCACTTGCATATCAGTTGAATCAGTTAGGAACTGTATGTCTCTCTCTTCTCTGACGAGTTTTCGCTCACTGGATTAGCTCGATAATCCTCCGAAAGCGAAAGCAGAAGCACCTCGGACCACCGCTCTTTCAGACGGCACTGTCGTGACAGTCGACCAAGCGCGTGCATTCATGGACTACTATTGCCGGAAGTTCGGGTTTGAGCGACCAGACATCAAATTAGAAGAGAGTCGATCGGGATGGGGGGCATTCATGGAGGTCGGTGGTCGCAGGATTGGGATCGGCAAAGCTGGCAACAAGAAGAACGCAGAGACAGCGTGCTACTTGGATGTGACGAAATATCTGGAGAGCTGTGACCCGGAACTATGGAAGGCTTACGTTGAAGCGGATTTGGACGGAACTGCTCTGGGAATGGCGCCCAGAGTCTTTTTCGAGATGAGCGAGGAGCTCGACGATGAAGTTCGTGATCTTTGCGTGGACATCAGGAAGAGTCAACTTTTTCGGAAAAGACCTGTCGTCAGCGCCCAGGCCCCACATACTGCCGGAGCTATTGCCACAGCACCTCGGGTTCATCGCCGGTTTGACCCTGAGATGGCACAGGCCAAATCAGCTCGACTTTCCCAAGCACGCAATGATTACCTCGAGAATAGCAAGTTGGAGAACCTCCGGAAGCAAAGAATGTCACTTCCCGTATTCACCAAAGCCGACGAACTTCTCGCCCACGTCAAGGATAACGATGTAACTATCTGCATGGCTGCGACTGGTTCTGGAAAAACAACGCAGATCCCGCAACTGATCCTGGACAGCTTCATTGAGGAAGGTCAAGGCGCTTCGTGTAATATCGTCTGCACACAGCCTCGACGTCTCGCAGCGCTCAGTGTGGCAGATCGTGTCGCGAAAGAACGAGGGGAAACTGTCGGGAATTCGGTTGGGTATCAAGTGCGATTCGAGGCCAAGCTACCTGAGGAAAACGGGAGCATCACGTTCTGCACAACCGGAGTTTTCCTCAAGCGGATGCAATCGAGCATGAGCAACGACGGGCGAGAGGGTCGTCCGTTGGATGATGTTACTCACGTTGTGGTTGATGAAGTCCATGAACGAGACGTGGACACTGACCTGCTACTGGTCGTCCTCAAACAGCTGATGGAGGACCGCAAGCGCCGGAACATTCCACTGAAGGTCATCTTGATGAGTGCGACTATCGATCCCACCCTATTCCAGAACTACTTCCTTGATGATCACAATCGACCTGCGCGGGTCATTAGCATCCCTGGTCGATCTTTCCCAGTCGAGAAGCATTTTATGAATGACTTCATCCCCACTATCCTCAAGGGACCTGCCTCCTGGATCATGTCCGAGCAATCCGTCTCCAGGTACATCGATCGGGAGATGTCGGTCGTTCCCTTGTCTGGCCAGGAGGAAGACTTGGACCTCCCCGCTCCGTTGGTTGCGGCCACTGTGGCGCATGTACTACAATTAACTGACTCCGGTCATGTGCTGGTCTTCCTCCCAGGATGGGAGGACATAACGGCTGTTCAAAAGGCGCTCCTGACCCCTAAAGGGCCACTAGGCATTAATTTTAACGATAGCTCGCAATTTTCGATTCACCTCCTCCATTCGACCATCCCTCTCGCCGAACAACAAGTTATCTTTGAGCCGCCCAGCGCTGGTGTTCGACGCATCATCCTCTCCACGAATATCGCTGAGACCTCAGTGACTATTCCGGACGTCGTATACGTCGTTGACTCTGCCAAGGTCAAGGAACAGCGATACGATCCGCAAAGGCACATGTCGTCTCTGGTTTCTGCCTGGGTCGGATCCTCCAATCTCAATCAACGTGCTGGTCGTGCTGGCCGGCATCGACCAGGTGATTACTACGGCTTGATCGGTAAATCGCACGCGGATGCTCTGCAGCCATATCAAACGGTCGAAATGAAGCGGGTGGATCTCAGTAACGTCGTCATGCATGTGAAAGCACTTAATTTCCCTGGCATGACGGTCGAGGATGTGCTCGCTGCTTGCATCGAACCCCCGCTGACGGAACGAGTCGCAGCTGCCATGAAAGACCTGCAGATGGTTGGAGCCTTGGACGCCCACAAAAACCTTTCATCTCTAGGCCGGGTCCTCTTGCAGATTCCTGTCGATGTGCAGCTGGGCCGCCTTGTGTTGTATGGGTGCTTCTTCCGCTGCCTTGATCAAGCGCTGACACTTGCCGCGATCTTGTCCAATCGCGATTCATTTGTGTCGCCCATGCATCTGAAGGCAGAGGCATCCAAAGCCAAGATGTCATGGAGTTCATCCACTTTCCGGTCTGATGCGCTTGCAGCTGTTGCCGCGTACAATGCTTGGTGGGCCATGCAATCGAGGGGTGAATATGTCAGCGCGAATCGGTTCTGCTCGGAGAACTTCCTGTCGAAACCTACTCTCCTCACGATTCAGAAAGTCAAGTCCCATCTGCTGCAATCCTTGTTCCGTATCGGGGTCATAGATGTCTCGGCGGGGACCACCTCTTCCGCCTCCCAGATGGGGCGGTCCTTCCAGGTTCCTCCTGTGCTCAATGTCAATGGCAGCTCCCAAGCTCTCCTTGCCGCGCTGATTGCCATTGCTTCTCAACCCAAGTTTGCGATCCAGACTGGGGACAAAAGTTTCCGGACCGCTCAGGACAAGGTCAGTAATCCACATCCCAGCTCTCTCCTCACTCTGACATATCGAGCTAGATGACATTCATCCACCCATCCAGTGTGAACAACCGAAAACACATCAAGGAGGATGAACAAGAAAACAGGCAGTTGTTCGCATTCATGGAAAAACGACAAAACGCGACCGTGTCGACGACGCCTCAAACCATGCTCGTGACCACCACCAAGCTTGACCCGTTGACTTACATGTTGTTCGGCGCATACAAGCTTGAGATGAACCAACGGGGTATCGACTGCGACGGGTGGCTCCCGATCGTGGGCAAATTGGATACCCTCGACGACGTGTACCGGCTGAAGACGTTGATGGAATCCAGCATGCTCCGGGTGTTTGAGGGAATCACCATGAGCCGACGCAGTTTTAGAGCTGCGAACTTGCCTATTCTTCCTAGAGAGGAGGCTCCCGAGTCAGAAACGGACGACGAAGTCACCCAGGATCTCTCCATGTCTCGAGAGGAGCTGAAAGAGCTCGAGATGCTCACCCGGGACATCGTCCGCATCCTCAATCGGTACAGTGCAGAACGAGAAAGTCGAAACAGGACTTTCTCTCGGCCGGTGACACCCTATCGCTCAGGCTTCAACACCCCACGCTCGTCTCGCCCAGCAACTCCCAGTCGCTTTAATCGACTGCCATTTTAGATATAGGAACGCATAGATAGTATCCATTCCAGCATAATACTCCTACTGTATCATAGCATATTCAAAGTTCATCTGCCCACTCAATCTGTCACGTGCCCTGCTTTCCGATCATCCGCGAGCTTCAGCTTCAGCCTTAGGCTGCTTCACCATTCACCGTCCCAGTGATACCCCCCGCTCCATTCTCCAAACATGGCGTCCAACATGCGAGGTCTCACGCAGGTCTGCATGCATCTGTATCTCGATTCCTCACGGTCTGACACGACCATGGCCACTGCTAGTTCATCGCGGACATCCGTGGTGCACGCGTGCGAGAACTCGAAGAGAAGCGCATAAACAAGGAGATGGCCAATATACGGAAGAAATTCAAAGGCTTGTCCTGCTCCGCCCTCGGTGTACCCGAGCTCACTCTAGCCCTCAGACGGCAATTTGGACGGGTACCAAAAGAAGAAGTGCGTGATTAAGACATGGTTTCGCGCTTGGTGCACTGAATGAACGCGTCCACGCAGATACGTGGCGAAGATAATATTCACGTACATCCTGGGCTACAAGGTCGACGTGGGACATATGGAAGCGGTCAACCTGATCTCCAGTTCAAAATACAGCGAGAAGCAGATCGTGCGTTCTGCAACCTCCTACCTCTGGCTGAGCAAACATAACACTGCGGCCAGGGTTATCTTGCCGTGACGCTTCTGATGCACGAAAACTCCGATTTCCTTCGCCTGGTTGTGAACTCAATACGCAAAGATTTGGATGGCAACAACGAAATCGACAACTGCCTCGCCCTGCATGCCATCGCTAATGTCGGAGGGAGTGAGATGGCGGAAGCGCTTGCAGAGGATGTGCATCGTTTGTTAATATCTCCGTGCGTGGGCAGGCGCGGTCAGGGTTTCGCGGGAGACTGAATGAGTAACCTTCAGAACATCAGGGACATTCGTGAAGAAGAAAGCCGCGCTGACACTACTGCGACTATACCGAAAACATCCGGACGTCATTCCGGCGGCAGAATGGGCTTTGCGGATAGTGTCAATTATGGATGACAACGACCTGGTGAGTCAACCCGTTGTATCCGCTATTTCTGCTCTAATCATGCTTAGGGAGTGGTCGTATGTGTGACAAGCTTGGTCATGGCGTTGGCTCAGGATCATCTGGTACCTTACGCGGTGTGCTACACCAAAGCTGTTGATCGACTGAACCGAGTGCGTTGGAAGTCGTTCTCGTGATTGCGACTGTCCATCTGACCCTCTCAGCTTGTGGTTGAGCATGAATACTCGGCAACATATGCCTATTACAAAGTGCCTTCTCCGTGGCTGCAAGTGAAGCTGTTACGGCTTTTGCAATACTACCCTCCCTCAGGCGAGTGCTGTCTTCGGACTGGAGCGCCCGCTGACCTGAATGCAGAGGATCCCAGCATTCAGTCTGTTCTTCAGCAGGTTTTGCAGACTATCATGAACAACAGCGCCGAACCATCACGCAATGTGCAGCACAACAACGCCCAACACGCCGTGCTATTTGAGGCCATTGGACTGGCGATCCATCTCGATACCAACTCACCTCTCGTGAACACTGCGGCTGTGCTTCTGGCTCGGTTCATCTCCTCGAAAGAAACGAATGTGCGGTATCTCGGTCTCGACGCGATGGCCCATCTTGCTGCACGTGCGGAGACGCTGGAGCCGATCAAGAGACAACAAAATGTGATCATCATGTCATTGCGGGACAAAGATATTTCTGTCCGCCGACGAGCTCTGGATCTGCTTTACAGCATGTGCGATGTGGACAACTCAGAGTTGGTCGTCGGCGAGCTCTTGCGGTATCTCGGTGTTGCCGATTACGCGTTGCGGGAGGAGATGGTGCTGAAGATTGCCATTCTAACGGAGAAATATGCGAGCTCGTACAAGTGGTATGTGGACACTATCCTCCAATTGATCAGCACTGCTGGGGATCACGTGGGAGATGAGGTGTGGTATCGGGTCGTCCAGATCGTGACCAACACCGAAGATCTGCAGGAATACGCTGCCCGCGTTGTTTTTGCCCATCTCAAAGCGCCCTCAAACCACGAAAGCTTGGTCAAAGTGGGAGGTTGGTGGAAGTTCAATCTCGTTGGATTTCATGACTGAAGCTCGGAGAAAGGCTATATCCTCGGCGAATACGGGCATCTTATCGCCAACGAGGCTGGACACAGCCCCATCGAGCAATTCAAGGTCTTGCACTCCAAGTCACAATTCTGTGTTGCTTCGACGCGTTCTCTCCTCCTTTCGACGTATATCAAATGGGTCAACGTTTTCCCGGAGATCAAACCGCAGCTGCTGAACGTATTTGAGCGCTACCGGCATGTGCTGGACGCGGAACTGCAACAGCGAGCGTGCGAATTCTATGCGTTGGCACGCAGGCCGGAGGAAGACGAGATTCTGCAAAACGTGTGCGAAGAGATGCCACCGTTCCCACCCCGAGTGAGTGCGTTGCTCAGCCGACTGAACGCCAAACATGGGGATACTGGGGACAAGCGAACCTGGGTCCATGGCGGCAAGGAGGCTCAGCTCGACCGGGCAGCTGCGAAGAAGACGACGCTGGCCCCAGTCGAGACGAATGGTGCAGCAGCTTCACCAACAGACAATCAAGATATTTTGGGGTCGCTGGCCGGTCTCGATCTCACTTCTGCATCACCGGTCGCAATGTCCGAACCAAACCGCGGCGAGGATCTGTTCTCGACCATGGCGCAAAATGGGGCGCCGAGGATCGCCATGGGCCCCGATGTCGACCGGTGGTTCGACAAGCTGACTTGGGGTACCGAAGGTGTTCTGTACGAGGATGTGCAAATCCAGATCGGGATCAAGTCGCGATACCAAGGCCATATCGGCCAGCTCGCGGTGTACATCGGAAACAAAGTCCCCACGGCGCTGACCTCGTTCACTGCCTCGCTGCACATCAGCGATCCGGAGGCGTTGTCTGTGACATTTGCCAAGATTCCACCGAGCACAATCGCACCTCGCACCCAGTCGCAGCAGCTGCTGCATGTGGAATGCAAGAAATTCTTCGCTACTCCGCCTGTGCTGAGTCTGTCGTTCCTGGCGGGCTCGCACCAAACGCTGTCGATCCGACTGCCAGTGGTTGTGACCAAGTTTTTCGAGCACGTCAAACTGGGTGCAGCCGACTTTTTCGAGCGGTGGAAAGTCATCGGCGGGCCGCCTCGAGAAGCACAGTCTGTTTTCCCCATTGAGCTGAGTAGCGTGGGACAGCTGGATCTGGTCAAGCATCGCAACGTCGTCAGCGGATACCAGTTGAATGTGCTCGACGAGATTGACCCCAACCCCAACAACATCGTCGCTGCTGGTGTGCTGCATATGGCAGTCGAAGGCAAGGTCGGTTGCTTGATGCGGCTCGAGCCCAATCGGGATGCCAAAGTTTGTGCTTCGATTCTTGGTTTAGGCAGCAGTGACTGATTCTCCGCTGCAGCTGTGTCGACTGACTGTTCGAAGCACATCAGAGCAAGTAGCAAGCGAAGTGCTCAAACTTGTGCAAAAGCCGCTCAAAGCATAATGATTACAGACACCAGACATTGTACATATTAGATCTGCAGCAGTCATACTTACCGGATAATTACATTGTATAATGCTTGTTGTACAATTCCTACTTGCGCCATTTCATTCCAAATATACCTCGCTTCTTCTTCTCTTCTTCCGCTTCCAGCGATAACGGATTGGCTGGATACGAGACGGAATCCGTCGATGACGAGCGCGCCCGTCGGTGGGCATGGACATTTGCAGCCGTCTCGGCCCAACCACTCGGAGACTGCACTGACGGCTGGGGTACCGCGCGCCGGCCGGCAGCGGCGCGGTCCGGCGCGGTCGACGGCCGGCGTGGTTTCCTCGGTGAGGGCATCGACGCAGAAACCGACAGCGAGGACGAGTGCTCGGGTCGTCGAGTTCGCTCTGCTTCAGTTCCCATGCGAGAGGCCATCTGACTGACCCGACGGAGAGCCGACTCTTCCACTTCGATGCATCGCTGGCAGAAGTCGTGCAAAACGGGGTCGTCGGGGCAATTGACTCGAGCGTTGCGGATGACAGCAGATGCTATAATCGCGAGCTGCTTCGGGACGTCGGGAACAGCTGGCATTGGAATGGACTCCCGGCTCAGCACAGGCATCAGCATTCTTCGAGTTCTCAGTGCGTTGACCACTGCCAATCGCTGATGTACTTCGCCGTCGGGTGAGTCGTCATGTTTCCAGTGGTGGGATGGACTAGCTTTATTAGAAAGACACATGACACGCTCGTGCAGAGCACACGCACCTCGCGACAGCAACTCGGTCGGCCCTAGACACCGTCATTAGATAATCCACCATGGCTGGACGACTGTCCAGCATCAGGTCCTTGACATTGCGCATATAGTCCTCTTTCTGCACCGACTGCGAACGGGATCAGACAGGAAACTCTCTCTGAACGGATGAAATGGCGCACCGATGTCAGGTTTGCAATGCTCAGGATAACCTTCGCTATCGAAGTCAGAGACCGCCGGACATTGGCATCGGGCAGACCTGGATCCTGGAGTAAGCCTACGCGATCGACGACCGAAAAGACACCAACCAGGGCATAGGTCGAATAGGTGAGGATTAAGAATGGCGGGCACGATGAATCTCAGGAAACAGAAAGCTGATACGCTTTTGAGCGGGAGCTCCCGATTCTCGGGCGAATCGTTTTCGCTGATGCGGTAATTCTTGGTCACCTGCTCTCGTACGGTTTGGAAGAGGCGTCGCATTTCGCTGGCAGGTCATCAGCCGTGTCGAAGCTAGCCAGAAGGGACTCACATAGGACACTCCATTCGCACAGCATAGATTTGGTTCCAGAATTCCCGGCACCAGTATACCAAGGAGTCCACATTGCGCTCAACTTCCCTACTACTCTTTTCTTTCCCACCTTTGGTTCCGCGCTGGAAATCGACCTCAATCTTCACTTTGTCCGCACAAAGCCTGCGCAACACCCGTCCGATGCTGGCCTCCAGAAAAGCCTTGCCATACCAGGACATGCAGGACTCCATCACTCGAGAGAAAGTCGTGTTGCCGCGGAACAATGTCTGATGTGCTGCAAAGAGTTCACCGCGCGTCAGAATACAACAGCAAGGGTACGAACAAGTTGGAGTTCCATCGACTTCACGCTTTGCGGTCTCTTGCACTTGTTCAATGAGGTCATCCCGGGCGACCGCAATCGAAATGAACTGGTGAGATAGATTCTTGAGCTTCAATTTGGTATCAAAGTCGGACAGCCAGTCCAAGAAGTTCCGAGTTCGGAAAGTCTACAAAGGTCAGCGGGATCACCGGATAGATAGGCAGCACATGCACCTGCAGCAGATTCGTGTATTCGGCGTAGGGGAGAATAATTTCTCTGATAAAGGTCAATCACCAAAACATGGGATTTGGAAACCACTGACTCATCAACCTTGATCTTCAGACGGATGTCTCCAACCTGCAGATCGCTGGCAGTCGGTCCGGGTAATAATACAGGGAACCAGCCCTCTATCGCTTCCCCTCGCTTGAAATTCGAGAGCGTGACACGCACTGAACCCATGAGTGTCGGCCGCGGCAATTTTGTCTCCTTCCACACGAAGATATCCAACGTGTCAAACGGTGGAAGATCCGGGAAAGTGAATTGCTCGTGCCAGTCGGGGGTGTTCAGCCCTTTCTTCAGGGTCGTGCGGCCACATAGCATGGTGTTGAGGTGAATTTCGCAAGACACCTTGAGGTCCACTGGATCTGCTTCTTCAGAGCCGCCGATGACTGCTGCACCGGCTGGGTCAAACGGTCGAGGATTGCCCAGATTGCGCGCTTGGATCACAGTCAACTCGACTTGCCGCCACATTCGATATGATCCGCCTTCGTCGGCCCTGAGTTGGCGTCCGTATATCTCAGGAATGGTATACGACCGAAGAAGAGCCAGCCATGTACTGCATGTGTCGGTATTGGAGAACTGCAAGTATACAGGTTCGGCTGGATGTGCAGAATTGGATACCCATCGCTGCGAACTAGGAAGGGAGTCTCAGAATACAAGGGTGAAACACTTGACAACGAGACCCACCCCAAACAAAAGATGCCTAGACAATCCTTTCTGAAGAACAGCGAACGGTCCGTGAAACGGATGTCGGTGTTGTTGAGAAGATGGATGAATACAGTTTGGAAGAGGAACGAATCCTATCTCACAGGATTACGCGTGCGCCCACAAAGACGAGATTAGCAACGCACGTCAATGTAGATGTTCAGAAGACATCGGCTTCCCTCCTCCGTGAGCGTGCATGTCGCCTGCCTCCATTGACCCGATCCAGACGTTCCACGAGCCAGCGTATGCCAGCTATTCTTCTCTGGCAGGAAGTTGAGCGCGGGGTGGGGTACCTAGCGACCAGGCGAGAGGTACCTCGTAGTTTCTTGTCGTCTGGGGCACCTGGCCGTACAGAGTCGCGCTTATCCACCTTGCGTTTCGGTATCGCGGGCTAGAAAGTGACTGGGGTTGAGAGGGTGGCATCGGTACACAAGCAGTCCGGAACGAACCTTACGGAAGCCCAATGCGGCAGCGCCGGCGGCGTTTGGAGAGACGTAGATCTCCGCCGAGACGAGGAATTCTTTGAGGCCCGCGGACATGTATTCTCAGTGGGAAAAGCAGTGGTGGTACAGGTGCAATGGTGGGTGGGTCGCTTCAGTGTTAACTGAAAGAAAGGGCGCGGTGCTAGATCAACTCGGCTGTCACTGCGGCGCCTGTCATCATCACCTGGTGACGGCGGTGTCAACGGGTCGAGCATCGGACATGGGTGCCTGAGCCTGGCCTAAGTCGATGATGGTATACTGTAAAAGGGCGTACGGAAAACGGTTGTAAATAGTGTCAGCCGGCTATGTTCTTGGCGGAGCCCGCCGATTCTTCCTTATTGAGATCTTGCTGCGACTTTTCGCTGACTCTCATGGGCCATTTTTGCGGGTCTCGGCGGGTCCTCGCTGCCCGACACGGCGACACCGTCTTATAGTGGCGGACTCGGCGGATTCCCGCCGTCTCTGCCCATTTGCGCGCCGTCTGCGACTTCTCGCTGCCCTCCCCCCTTTCACCCTGTTCGGCGGACTCCCGCTGCCCCGTCACCTCGATACATCGTCCGCGACTTCTCGCTGCCCTCCTCCCTGCGACTTCTCGCTGCCCTCCTCCCTGCGACTTCTCGCTGCCCTCCCCCCTTTCACTCTGTTCGACGGATTCCCGCTGCCCCGTCACCTCGATACATCGTCCGCGACTTCTCGCTGCCCTCCTCCCCTTTCACCCTGTTCGGCGGACTCCCGCTGCCCCGTCACCTCGATACATCGTCCGCGACTTCTCGCTGCCCTCCCCCCTTTCACCCTGTTCGGCGGACTCCCGCTGCCCCGTCACCTCGATACATCGTCCGCGACTTCTCGTTGCCCTCCTCCCCTTTCACCCTGTTCGGCGGATTCCCGCCGTCTCTGCCCATTTGCGCGCAGTCTGCGACTTCTCGCTGCCCTCCTCCCTTTCACTCTGTCCGACGGATTCCCGCTGCCCCGTCACCTCGATACATCGTCCGCGACTTCTCGCTGCCCTCCTCCCTGCGACTTCTCGCTGCCCTCCTCCCTGCGACTTCTCGCTGCCCTCCTCCCTGCGACTTCTCGCTGCCCTCCCCCCTTTCACTCTGTTCGACGGATTCCCGCTGCCCCGTCACCTCGATACATCGTCCGCGACTTCTCGCTGCCCTCCTCCCCTTTCACCCTGTTCGGCGGACTCCCGCTGCCCCGTCACCTCGATACATCGTCCGCGACTTCTCGCTGCCCTCCCCCCTTTCACCCTGTTCGGCGGACTCCCGCTGCCCCGTCACCTCGATACATCGTCCGCGACTTCTCGCTGCCCTCCTCCCCTTTCACCCTGTTCGGCGGATTCCCGCCGTCTCTGCCCATTTGCGCGCAGTCTGCGACTTCTCGCTGCCCTCCTCCCTTTCACCCTGTTCGGCGGACTCCCGCTGCCCCGTCACCTCGATACATCGTCCGCGACTTCTCGCTGCCCTCCTCCCCTTCCGACGCGCTCGCCTCATTCCTGCCGTCTCTGCCCCATTGAACACATTCCGCGAATCCTCGCTGCCCTCATCGCACTCTGGAGGACCTCTGTGCCAGTGCCAGAGAGGCTCAAACTGGGCCTCGGGCATTCAATGGACTTGGCATGCACGCATTTAGGTGTATCACACAACTCAGCACCAGAGTCCTCACTTCAGAGTCTCTTTTATTCGTGATCCTTCGGAATGTTGCTGCTTGGTGTCTTTTCAAGACTATTCAGCAGGATTTTGCTGGGTTCTGGAACTACCAGCAGATGACCGCTGTCTAAGTCCAGCCATTGCCAGACTGGGCGAATTCTTGGGCAGATTCTCATCGTAGCGAAGTGACTTGCCATTCCAATTAAAGTCTACTTGTTCTCCTATTGTTTACTACTTGCATCCAGTCAACTTTCTGATGCGTAACCGATTCCAGATGCATAAGAAAACTCGCGTATACAAGATGGCGCGACTTTGAGACATATAACTGACTGACTTTCGTATCCGGCCAAGGCCACTGTTCCCGCATTCCCCGGCACTTGAGTTGATTCGTGACAGTCTTGGATCCACCCGGCAATAAGTCTTCAGGAACGCAGCTTCGGAACACTTGGTGTGGCCAACCGAATGGAAGTCGTCAATGAGGAATTGAGTATTGGCAAAAAAGGTTGGCTCGCGTGTCATGCAATACGGCCCGAGCGCACAGGCAAAGTCATAGATGACTCTTTTTGGCGCCGTTTCCCATCGAGTGATCAATGCTGAAAACACATCGTTTCGTCCTTCTCCCTTGGGAATACAATGGAAACCATAGCAGACACTATGGGTGCACCAGACACACATGATGCCCCCTGTCAGGCGCCGTTCTCCGTACTGTGAGTAGAACTTTGAGCATTTTGCGCCTCGCTTTCCGCCCACTTCATTGCTCGCGTCATATTTGAGCTTCGGATACCGAGGACGGTCACGAATCTTAGGCAAGCCATAATGACAGCCGGTCTGGAATCTTGTCAGTACAAAAGGCTAGCGAATGGGAGGTGATACTCACCTCGGCCCATGGTTTTTCGTCCCCGGACTGCACTGTGGGTAAGTTGACGGGCTCCTTCACCAACGCATTGTATATGGCGCGACCTCTCCATAAAAGCCATTGGCTGATCAGGTGCAAGTCGTCAGAAATGTGACGCTCATGGGAAATGAGCTCGTGGATGGCCGGGATCTCTGTCAAAGCAGAGCCTGTTGAAAGGCTAGGTCGATCCACGAATTTTTGCAGTGCATCAAGGGCCGAATGTGTTGCAAATTGGAGGACAGATTCCTCGGCAGCGATCTTGGTGAATGTGTCAGACTACTATCTAAACAATCAATGCGAGACATGAGAACACACCTGTATGAAAAAGCGGCGATACACATCCGGGGCTGGTCGAGCATTCAAGACTGTGTGTTCGCCAAACTGTTTATTGAATAGTCTTGCCAGTGCTTCATCGACTCGTTCGAGACCCTCGACAACCACTGGTAGCATATCCACCCTGTCTGCAAATGCTTTCCGCGCCTTCTCAAGCGCCTTCTTCCCACGAGGATTCAGAACCGGCGCCGCATTAGCCTCGTCCTCGTTGTCTTCATCCTCCTCCTCATCTTCGCTTTCCGCCGTCGGGATAGATGACAGAATCTTGTCTAGTTCCGTTTTCGTCAGAGGGGGGCCGGTCAGCACGGTCCGAATTGAACGTCGCAGCTTTGCTGTCGATAACAATTGCTGATTTCCAAGATATCGTGTTGTGTGGCGCTCGTGCGACGAAGGTTGGCTGACTGTGGGAGGTTCGAGGGTAGGAAGTAGATGTTTTTTGTTGAACGCAAGGGTAACACCGTCCCAGATTGTGGTTTCGGGGCTAGGACCGCAACGAGGACACGTCATACTGTCATCAAGATGCTGGAGAGCAACATAAAGAAACCACGCGGAACGAAAAGTGTCCGCGCTAGGGAAAGGATTTGTACTGTCATTGAGACTGTAGCGCCGCGACACTACAGACACCCAGGCTGAAAACGGCGTCTCAGAGGATGTGTAGGCAGATGTGTATTCGTCGAGAACTTCGTGTGTGAAGAGGCGCTGATTGTTGTAATTGAATATCCTGAATTCCCGACAATCGGGACCCACAAGACGATGGGAACAGCGGGGATTTGGGCACTTCTGCAACTCGATTGTTGTTGTCCAGGACAATGAAAGTCCGTACACAGTACAAGACTGGGAAATCCGTGGGATGTGGCTTTGGAAGCGCTGTCGTGGCTGAGCACACGAGCACGAGGAGGTGTCGTTGAGAGGGAGGAGGCTCGGGGGTGGTGCGGGCTTCGAGTGTTGGTACAGGACGGGATCAGATGGCAAGGTGGCCCAGGGAGGCGCGTGAACTGGGAGGTACGACACAGCTCGTTGAACCGTTGCCCCTCGTCGGTAGTTGAGGTGATTCCAGTGAACTGACAAGGGAATGGGTTTAAATAAATTCAAGATGATAGTATGATTCAAGCTCACCAGTATCGTTCACAGTCCTGTCCTGGACCTCGTATCTTGCTTCGGGATCCGTAATTATCAACTGCTGCAGCAAGTCCCTGCACTTGTGGATATGAACACACGATCCCATTCCGATATCCTTCGAGCAGGACCAAGATCCACCCCTGGCATTCTCTCCTGTATGCTGCACAATAACCCGGCTGTTCAAAGTACTCGAGGCTTGAGGCCGGCAGGAGAAGATGTTGAGCCAGGTATCATCTCCGGTCTCTTGACGCGAGAAGAGGATGGCATCCAAAGCATCTAACGAACTGCTCAGTGCAAAGGACCAGAAAAACAATGTCTTCTATACCTTCCTCATTGACACCACCGTCCGAGAAGTGTTCATGACCTTCCTCCTGGAGGAACCGGGTGTGTACGCAGACTCCATTGTCGTTGACCCGAGCAAGAGGACATTGACAGACAATAACTTCGGCATCACCAATTACGGAACGCTGTAGGTGATGCCACGACGCCTGAGAAGAGTCAACTCATCTTCGACCACTTGTTTCGACATTGCTCTCACCTTCAAACTCTTCCTCTCTGGATCCCAGCCGTTTGAAACAAAGAGATCTCGTGTGATCTGGAAGAAAGCTCCCCTGTCCTCCAATATCAATTCGCAGAACACCGAATATCCTGCAGTGTCGGCAGTTGATGTGTTGTTGTCATTGTCTGAGTTAGAGCTTGTGATTTCTTCAAGGTGAAGACGTGCTCGAGACGGTGTATTCCAACCAGGCTGACTACCTCTCAGGAGGTCATCGGCAGCTTGATTCCAAAAGACACCCAACTCCGATTCGGATTCTGGTTCGTCAATGTCATAGCTCAAGATTGGAGCAGCACGTGGCTTTCGAGGTTCCTGTTCCACTCGTCGACGCTTTCGGGATGGGGTCTGAGTAACGTGGGAAGGGGATTGGAATGCAGAGCTCAAGTCTATGAGGGCCGGCGGCGATGGAGGTGGAAGTCCAAGCACAATAGGTTCGTTGTCTGAATACTCGTCAGTGTCCATCCAAATGTGCGGAGCAGACCTTTGCCAAGTTAGGAAGAGTGAGGGAAGCAGCGGGACTTCGCCGCGAGGGCGGAAGCCAACAGCTCTTCCGACTCTTCCCATCCTGAGTGAGGCAATGAGCGGGAACTCACAGGTGTGTTGAATAGCTGGCTGCTGTGTTACTACTCAGATCAACATTATGAACCAGAACCCCTTCTATTCTTTTCCGTCGCGGCCTGACTACCAGGGCCTGCTGGTGCCCCAAACGCCTTCGACTCAACGCACACATTACTATCCCAATGCCTATTCTTTTCCGCAACAGCAACAACCAGCTGGTCAGCAATGGCCCCCCTTCAATTCGGTGTGTCTTTCTTGTTCAACACGCAAACACTCTTCTCAGTGATCATCAAGCAAGCGGAAGGGAGCAGTCCTCTTCCCAACTCGTCTCCAGCCCATTCGGATGTTGCACCATCCTCCGACGCAATCGAAACGCCCACCCGGTCAACCCTAACTCGAACTCCATCTCCTGCTCCCACTCAAACCGCTGGCAAGAAAGCTCGTAGCCGGGTGACAAAGAAGAACCCTGTCTTCGGCGAAGTCCTGGGCGCATGGCGAGGTTCCAAGAAGCTGTGTAAGAGCTCTTGTGCCTGCACTTGGTTTGGATGCTTAGTTCTGTTGCAGCAATCCTGCGTAACAAAGCGCTTCGAGAGAAGGCGGAGGGTAGGAAGGAGATCAGTGCTCGTTTTCTTCGGCTGAGCCATGATATCATTGAGCGGGTAAGTCCATCTGCTTCCCTTTATTTCTGTTGGCGACTGACTTGCAGACAGTGCGAACGTTTGGCATTCGAAACGGGAGCATGGCTTCATCTCTCTGTCCAGCATCGTTTTGCCACCGATCCATTCTTGCATTATACATCACCTGCTCTTTTGAAGGAGGCCACAGATGACATGAACCGCATCACCAACGATTTTAGCAAACTTTTCAGGACGCTCATGGCTGCTCGCAACGAATCAACAAAGGAACTGCACAAGCAACTCACAGCAGCCAAGGAGAAGGAGCATCAAGCCACAGCAGCATTGGATGAATTGAGGGCTGCGCAGGAAGAGGCGGAGAGGCGTGCCGAGACGCATGCTGAAGTTCTGCGTGCCAAGGAAATGGAACTCGAATCTTACAAGATTCAGTTGCGGATGGTGACTCAGAAAAAGTAGAATACTTATCAATGTCATTTCTTGTCCTCTATTTTAATATAGTTCTAGCCCTTGTCAATCATGATGCTTCCAGCGCCATGAGTCAATCCCTGTGCAGGATTCGGTCCAGATGCACTTGACACATTTATGCCAATTTGAGTCGGAACAGTCACAGAGATTGATGACTTTGTGGAGGAAGTCAAGGAGTGTTGTTCAAAAGAGTTTCCTTGAGTAACTCGTTGTCCTTGTCCCCATTCTTGATCTCTTCAAGCATTGTGGCCCGATTGAAGAACGTGCGCTTCTTCCTCGGTTCCGGACAGTTCCGCGCAATGTGCCCGGGCTGCTGACAGTTGTAGCAGATGATATTGCGGCTATGAGCATGCGTGCAATCAATTTCCATCGAAACCGGTTCGTTAGCAGCAGGTCAGGCCAGGGCGGGTGCAGGTGTCATTGGGGCTGTCTGCGGGCAAAATTGGGGAGGTGGTCGTGGCATGGAGTGCCCATGCGATGCTTTGCGCAGCTGATTGCGCAGAGCGTTTGCCTTGATGTTGACACACCAGTCCTTGAAGGCACCATATGCCTTGGGCAAAGGGACACCAGTGTTGTAGAGGCGACTTGCAATCTCGCTGCTCAGCCCATGCTCAAGGAACTTGATGAGGATGTTGTCCTGATCCCCCTTCTTGTACTCGGCCTTGCTGTCGGTGGAGGTGACCACATTGTACCCCGCGTCTGCAGCCAGCATCTCGAAGTCAGAGATATAATCCACAAAGGATTGTCTATTCTGGCGCAGAGCCATGAGTCGAGCAGCAGCAACTTGCTCTGCGTTAGAGTCCCCAAAGGCCCTCTGAGGTTCCTCTAAGAAGGTCGCCGAGGTGACCCCAGCCTTTATTCCATTAAGGCTTTCGAAGTTGTGCTGTTTCCAGTTCATTGCCCATCTTGAGGCGGCGCAGCTTGTGCCAGCCTTGTTGCGGAGGTACGAGAGGATGAAGAGGATTTTTGTCTCATCCTGCAGGAATTCCGACCAATAGGCACCAATATAGGTGGTGCACAAGTCCACGAAGCCCATATATTTGGACTTGTCCCCATCGAAGTAGGGGGGGTTGGCAGCGAGGGTGATGCGGTGGTGTCCTGACATGGTAGGAGCAGGTGTGGTAGGTGGGGGCAAGGGTGGTTGTTTGGAGGGTAACTCGTCAAGGTCGGGGATCTCGTCTTCAGGCAGCGGGAGGGCGAGGTAGGGATTGGAGGGCCCCGGTTGGTTTTGATACGCCAGATCGGGCGACAATGGTAGGATGGGAGGAGGAGACGGACTCCCAGACGACGATGGGAATCGGAACAAAATGGTGGATTTGTATGCTGTACAAGCACTCGAGGAAGGGTTTTTTTGCTAGCAAAAAGATCCTGGGCCTAGCTCTTCACGTGCCCGATGATCCCGAGGTGCGTTTTCCCAAAGGTCTCCGCAGCACTCCTTGTAGCTACCGTAAGGCTTGGGTCAGGCTCAACGTTACCCGTGGCCTGGTGCTGTTTGCTCAAGATAAACCCTTCACTGCGATCGCAGGGAACAACTAGATGATTCGGTAAAAGGGTGAGTTGGTTGATAAGGGTTAAGAGGATATAGCAGGCGTAGCGGTGTGGGATGTGTATCCCCTATGACAAAACATGTACTCTATTTGACTCAAGTGAAGCCAAAGCTGAAGCTGAAGTGTTGGTCGAAACACCTCTGGAGGTGTTTTGATAATTCACTGTTGATTTGCCTGTGATGTGATTCTCCCATAATTCAACATCCTCATGAATCGCAACCTGAATCGCTTCTTGAATCACCTTGTGAATCACCGGTTTTGACTGCCCCTATTAAGCCATATTACATACAAGGAACAACTTCAGAAACATGCTGACTTGTTCTAGTCCTCTATTTGCAAAGTGCAAGGGATTCATTAAATATGGCCACAATCCCGTGACTCATCATGTGACCGCGATTCTCAGTCGATCAGGCAGCATCAAATTGAAATTGGAAAAAGATCTGTTACACTGTTACCATGTCTGTCCCCCCACGCTCCCAAGAGGAACTCGTCAATGGTAATTCCAAAACTGACAGTCAATCCTATCTGACTGCTGATAGCTCTTGTTTTGGCCAAAGCGGAACTTGCAGCAGCCAATGAGGCCAGGGAACAAGCGCGCAAAGAATGGATGCCTGAGAGCGGAATTAAACGCAGGGCTCCACGTATGATAGGTACAGGCAATAACAGTATCTCTATCTACGACAATTGGCCGCTGAGCATACCGGACAGAGAAGCAGAGAAAGTTGCACAAGGCTTTTTTGGACAGCGAGAAGCATGTCGAAGATGTCAAGGCCAAGCTCAAACAAACCAAAGATGCCCTTGAGTTGGTGGATGTCACATCTCATGGATCTAAGACGATAGAGGGAGGGATGACAGGGGAAGGAGAAGCCATGAACATTGATAGTAGGTTTGAGGCATCACATATCCGATTAGAGCACTCATTCGCTTCGCAGAGACAGAGTCAGACAAAACAGACCTTCCTGAGCTTGATGAGAAGATGGCGGTCAAGGAGAAGGCACAGGAGGTCGAGAACGGGAAGAAGTCACCTGTCGAGGAGAAACCTGGTGATGATATGGCTCTTCATGACGGCGGAAAGGGTCTTGATGACGGTGGGAAAGCTCTTGATGTCCGCGCAGTATTCGATGGGATAATGATGGTCGAGAATGACGGTGGGGAGGTCAAGGATGGCGAGGAGGGATCTGCGGCTCTTGATGATGGCAAGGTGCTTGAGGACAGCGAGAAAGCTCTTGATGACCGCGCAGTGTTTGATGAAAAGATGGTAGAGGAGAAGGAGATGAAGGATCCCGAAGAGCAACCTGTCCAGAAGATACCCGGTGATGAGAAGGCTCTCGATGACGGCGCAAAGGGGCTTGACAGTGAGAAGGAGATTGGTGACAAGGCACCCGACCAGCCACAGGAGCTTGGCGACGAGAAGAAGATGCTTGAAGATGGCGACAAGGCCGAGCACAGAATGCCCAAGTCACTCCGTTCTTCAGATAGCGTAGCTGATAACTCAGGTCAGTGATTTCTTTGCCTGTTGTTCCACATATTGATGTCTTTGAGCAGCGTCTAAGAAGCGGAAAGCTTCTCGAAAGGCTGTTGCTGTTGATGGTGCGTTTTAGTACTTGTAGATTTGCAAGGATGTGCTCTGACATCTCGAAAACAGCAGAATCCGAGCCAGGCATCGAGCAGGGTCTCCTTGAGATCAATCAAGAGGTATTCAGTGACGACAACACACCCAAGAAACGCACCAAGAACACAGCAACTGTACCTCAGAAACCTGAGGACAAGCCTGAGCGTTAGTTCTCTGTGCGGCATCAACTTGTCTTGTCACTCACTTTCCGCAGCTAAGATGCCCAAGAATGTGGACGAAAATTATCGGCTTGCAAAGACAGAGGAAGGGAAGGACCTCAAGTATGGCCCCGAGAAAAAGTCCGCAGATGATTTTGTTGATGCACTGGAAGGTCAGATATGGTCACATCATGAACACGGTAGTATCTGAGATGATTCAGAGCAAGCAACAAGCGAACTCTTATCATTCGAGCAGCAAAAATTCTCAGCCACACCATTTTCGCTGCACCCTGATGTTCGCAGACTGATGAGGGAATTCCGTACAGGATTCTTGCCTGGACTCGTACCCAGATCCGAAGAATGTGTCCGCGAAATCCTGACATCAACGGATGGTAAGGCGAAGACTGACAAGCAGAATCCCGAGCAACAACCGACTTACAAAGAAGGGCGCATGCAGTGCCCTTCGCACTGGGCAGCGCGATCGAACGGCGACATCTACAACGGAAGTGACACCACCAAACACAAGCTTATGGGCATCCCTGCTCCACCGGATAAAGAGCGCAACTGCAAAGAGACAGGCATTTGCAATTGCGGTTGCGATCCCAGGCGAGCAGTGGAGGAATATATGTGGATGAAGCAATGGGAGATTGAGGAGGACAAAAGATTTGATCACGGGGAGGCTGGGGAACGACTGGTGGACGTGGAACCAGAGGACGCCGTGCACGAGAAACTGGGAGCCGAAGTCCTCGGGCCACGTATGCGGGAGTTCGTTTCGCAGATGATGCACCGGTGGACACGTCTGGATCCGAATGAGTTTTTTGCCGTGGACGGTGAACGCTACGACTCACTGGAGTATAACCTCCGTCTTCACCTGTCCGTGATGCACAAGACCGCCCTGCATGTCAACGATCTCTTGTTGGAGGCGCAGAACAACAAACGTGTCGTTATCAACGAATTCGACACCAATTTCCTCGACGAATTCGCACGTTTCACCAGTGACAATGGACTTGGAAGCGTTGCAAACGGCGAGAGTGCTGGCGAAGGTGAAGGAATGGTTGTCGGATAGGTTGCTGTCAGAACGGCTGGCAGATTTTTGTGCCAAGTATCCGCGCTGTTCATTAATAAGATCGTTGTAGACAAGAGATTATACGACACGCACAAGATCATTTGAGTTCCTGCTGTAGGATGAAGAGCAGCGGCATCTCGCCGCCACTGAGCCTGATACTGGCTGGTCAATGGTCGGCGTAGTCCCGCCGAAACCTCGAGTCCAAAAGTAGTGGTCTTTCTCTTGCCACGTACTCGCCCCACGTACTCTGCCCTCCCCATTCATCACCCACCCTGCCATGTCCAGCTACGGCGAACTCAGACAACAGCTCATCCGTCAGAGCAAACTCAGCCAGGATTTGAGCGACCTGTTGTTGTACAACGAAAAAACCGTTCGCGGAGCCATTCAGGAGCAGTGGGAAATCGAGCGTCGGGTTCTTAGTATCCAGAAGAAGGAGGGCCTCATCAACATCGATGGTGTTGCTCACACGACCCGGCATTTGCGGAACTGATCCTGAGTCTCGCAACTATTCACTGCAACAAGTGTTGCTCGCTTGTATACCACGAACCACGGACTTGCATCATACGAGTGGCTTAGGGTTGGCAACAGACATTACAGTCCCTCCGACCATTATCTATACAACAGTATGTGCATCCCGCTCCATTGGGAGCATTCATCTGGAATCAGGAATGGTCAATTTCGTGATTGGTGGGCGCTATGTCTTGCAGAGAAGCGAAGTAGCGCATCTTATACAGCAGGCATCCTGATAGAGCTCTAGTTTCTACGAGTAACAAATGCATAATTGTCCTCCACTGTATCAGACCACCAAGGGCAACAGGCTTTCCACTTCTTGCCATCCGTCCGACAATTCCGACTGCGGTTGATAATGTCGAAGGAGTAACAATTGGGATCGACCGTGAACCCACAGTGATCGAGAGCGTGTTTCAGTTGCAGGTAGGCACGCAGAGAGTAGTCAGCATGGATCGCCGCATCTACGAGAATCAGCCAAGCAGATGAAGGGCGAAACAAGCCGACTCACAATGCAGTTGCTGCGCACTGAATGATCCTCCCCATACAGAATTCTGATGTATCTTATCCACATGGAGGTGCAGGGAATGAGCGATTATGACTTGAAGACCGGGTTCCACTCCATGTGGCTTGCCGACAAGGATGTCTTCAGGATAGGCCAAGCGAGCCAGGCACCCCAAAGAAACGGCACCGCGAAGGTTCAAACGAAACGAGTCATAGACCCGCTGGCTGTCACCTGGAATGCTGTATCAGTAAGTCCAGATAGGCACATTAGCAAGTACGTACTAAAGATCTCCAGCGACCTTCAAGATATCCGGACTCTCACATATGCAAATGAGCTCCTAAATTAGAACTGGGTATGTCAGTAAGGGAATGACTACTGACAGAAAAAAACGCACCTTTGCACTCCAGCAGCGGAAGGATGAGAACAGTTCTGTCCTCCATAGCGATCTGGACAAGAGCAACCGTGACCTGGTTCCAGTCAATCTGGAAACCTCCCTCCTCAGCCTCCTCAATCAACCGCTCCAAACGATCTTTCTTATCTCGGAGGGTCAGCTTGGGACCGTTGAATGGGACGCCTTCAATATCGAACCAGATGACGGCGCCTGGGAGGATCAAAGTTGGGAGGATCAAAGAGAGGTGAGAGTTGGTAGTATCCACATGAGGAACAGCGATGTATTCAGACACCGGATATGGCGGAAGTCGGGATGTAGGAGGAACAAGGTCGGCGCTTGGTACGGGCACGGAAGGCGATAAGTGGCCGTGTCGTCGAACACAGGAAAGAACAAGGCCCATGGGAGAGGACGGGAGGATTGGGTCAACGTGTCCAAGGGGACAGCGAGGACAGTGAGAAAGCGCGGCAGGTATAGCCGTGGCAGCGAGACTTCGCTGTAGGTGTTGAAAAGGAGGGAGTCGGCGAGAATCCGCCGTGTCTCGAATGCGGGAATGGGCAGCGAGATACTGCCGCCAGTGTTGCTGACGACATGAAAGCAAGCACACAATCCACAGTGGATGCAAGCATCATGGGGAGAGGCTTCGACCGCTCTGCCCCTCAACCCTCACTGCTTCCTATTCATCATGCTTGTTGCTCGACAACCTGGAGAGGTCGCGGCGAGGTGTCGCCGGAGGCCGTAGCTGGGAGTCAGCAGCGAAAAATCGCCGAGTCACTGTGAGAACGGAAGTGGCGGCGGGGATTCGCTGCGCGTGACAAAAGCACGGCGGGAGGTCGCTGAACATGTCTCAAGCAGAGTGGCGGCGAGAAACCGCAGAGTGCGTATGTGTGGAGGTAGGCGGCGGGAAATCGCAGGGGGTGACGGCGGGAAATCGCTGCGTATGCCAAATCGAGGCTGGGCGGCGGGATGTCGCAGCACCATGTCAGAATGGGAAAGTGCGGCGAGAAACCGCAGAGCGAATGGTACGGAGGAGGGCGGCGGGAAGTCGCAGGTCATGGTGGAAGGTGTCGTGGCAGCGAGGATTCGCCGGACACGTCATGACCCATGCTGGCGGCGAGATGTCGCCGGCCAAGGTAGAAAAGAGGTTGGCAGCGCGAAGTCGCCGAAGCCACAAAAAGAGAATGTGCAGCGAAAATTCGCTGACGGTGTGGGATGTGGCTGGGCGGCGAAAAACCGCTGGTGATGTGTGAAAGGGAGGTAGTGGCGAGGAGTCGCCGCATCTTCAGCCTGGTATGGCTCAAAGACCCACTACTACACAAGTCGAAATGCGTGTACTCCGTATGCAGGACTGCACCCTATGGGGCTGGCACCAGTGCAGGCGAGTTCAGGAAGGGCCGAGGTTACCAGGCGACGACGGGTCACGGAGGAGTGCAGTCACGTGATGTACATCGTTCAGTGGCAGCGGAGTTGCGCTGTAATAGATAAATCCCAAGCTATTTAAGAGAGAGAGAGCGGCGGCATATCGCTGGCAGAGTGGTATAACGCAGCCTGCTGAGTACATCAAAGCGGCGGGCGGTATTTGTTTACTTGACAATGCTGTACGTGTTTATACGGCCTGTCATCTCTAGGTTATCCGCTGAGCCTTATACTTGAGTAGTGCGTCAAATGTGTCCATTTACCAGCCGGTCAATGGTACTAGATAGCCCGTATATCTACTCGGTGCCTGATCTACTCCCGCGCAGCCACAGTCATCTCGTCCTCGTCATGAGGCTTATCCTCAATCAATCTTTTCGCTATGGACAATGAGCAGGCGGCAAACAATGAAAGCAAGAGAGCATACGTTTTCCCATTGGCCGTCCCATTGGCCGTCCCATTGGCCTTGCCGTTGGCGTGCACTTTCTTAGGTCCCTTCTTGTAAGTTTGGAAGTAGAAGTTGATGAATAAGCCCAAGTAGAAGGTTAATAGTGCACAGCCGAAAAGTGCAGCGGTTTCTCCGCCAGAGCAGCCACCAATGTGAGGCAGGATCCCGTCGTAATAGGTGGACGCAAAATGTCCGTAAGCTGGATGAATTTGAGTGGCACACGAAGGACATCATAGCGATCACTGACTTCCGAAATAGACAAGGGATATGTCGATCACGAATTGTATGATTTGCATCATAGTGAGGTATTTCTTCCACTGTGAACAAAGGAAATGAGAATGAGAAGAGAATCCGACAGAAAGAGCTAACCCAGATCCTAGCACCTCCAGCAGTGGCATAGTAATAGTAGTCTGCCCGGAGTCAGCATAATCGGAACAGTGCAGTGGCCAACACACGGACACATCAGAACATGAACAGCGAGGTTGAGCATGATAACAGTCCAGGACTAGAAGGCAGGTATGAGCCAACTTGATGGCGAGGGCGAGAGAAGGTTTACGATGCTGGTTTGACCGAGAAGTTGAGAATAGCAGAGAAGAGCCGTGGCAGAGTGATGGAAAACATGGAGGAAAGCTTTCGGAACTCAGACACAAGGGACGCGCCGAGGAGTTGCGAGACATACCGAGGGTCTTCTTCTTGAAAGCAAGAAACACGGTGTCGATGAGCTCAATGTACTTGAAGTAGTAGTTGATCATGTAGTAGAATTCCAATCGCTGTACGTTCAGTCAGACAAAGCACAAGCCTTACATGTCGCGAATGAGACCCACCGGAGTCCAAGACTGTGCGGAGCAAAGAGCATTGTAGAAACCTCGCTTCCAGATGATGGGAACTATCTCTTCCGCCATGAGGACCAGTAGCAGAAGACTTCCACTACTGAGGAAGACATTGTGGATTTGGAAGAGGGCGTTCAGTTTCTGGGGAGGGCGATTTTTCATGGCAGCTTGAATCCCGAAGATCGTGACGAGGTACCCTGCGAGTGTGCTGAGCACAACGGGCGTGGTGGACATGGGCGTTTGGCCCTGCACAAACGACGTGAGGTGGCGGGGGAGGGTGACGGGCGTCACCCGGAGGATTGAATCAGCGAGAGACATGTTGCAGAGGACGAAAGGACCGTTGACGAGGAAGTAGTAGACCAAGAAGTACACTTGTTGGTTGGGGGAGACCAGCCAAAAAATCTGATCGGCCCGTGGGTTCCCGGTCCATATCACCATTGATTGCAGCATGTGAAATCGCGCTTCCCCAAAGCATTGAGTGGCTTCCAGTTCTCAATCAGTCTTCAGAGTATGTTTGAATATGTAGTCCATGTATGCCCCAAAAATACAAATGCGGTAGAGAGCGAGCGAGAGGGAGTTTATGTGAAGATCAGGCAAGGGCCGGGACATCCCACCTCAGCCAGCAGTACGTTATGACTGAGAAGGATTGGCATGTGATCCGGACCGGAACTTGTTACAACTTACCGGTGAGGGAGGGTCACATTTTGAAGTTGTTTCACCGCCGTGGCCAGCGACGAGCATCCGCCAGTGCATATTATGCACCGGGACGACCATGAGGGAACCAGGACATAGGAAGCAGAGATCTGATGGTCATCAGGGCGGGGATAGAACGACGGAAGACTCGGTGCTTACCCCGGATGCCCGAAGCTCCCCCACGACTTCGTGGATATATGCGAGGAATTGTGATTTTAGTTGATGCAGGTCATGCAAATCAAGGTCTGCCAGTCGGTCGAGACCAATCAGCCGAAGGCTTCGACTTGTGGGCAAAGAACGAACGTTGATCTGGAGAAGGACACCACGAAGGAACCGTGCAATACAGCCGGAGCTCCGAAATTTGTGATCGCAGAATCAACCTGCGAACGAGGTAGGTTAGGTATGGCCGAGACCGAAACGAATGGACGACTTACTCTTTGAATGGCTCAATCGCTTCACTCGAAGATCCGAGCTGGAGGAAGAGGGTCAGCGTTGCCCTGGAACCCCTGGCCCAAACAATCTTGCCTCGACAATAGGGACCAGAGGTGCATCCGTGCGGTGGGTTTGCTCGAGTGAGGAGACGGGGGTGGGGAGTGATGCGACAAGAGCCATGCTAGAGGAGTGTTGCTGGGTGGTGCACCAGTGCAGTATACTAATGCGGCTGGAGGTATTTAAGTATCACGCGAGCGGAGCACGGGTGTTTCCGGAATGCGATTTAGTCGAGGCACAGTCGAGAAGTTCCGGGCGGTGCATCGTGCGGTCCATGAGGCCGAAATCGCGTAAGGAGTCTCACCGCACGTCTCGGCAAAGGAAGATGATGACTGGTGACAAATGAATGCAGTCTCATAGAGGGAACGAATAGACCGACAGAAAACATGTTGAGTAAGGAGTGCGCCTCGAAAATGCGATCAGAGACTCGGCAAGTTCGGCATCTGCTCTCGCGCTATGACGTATTCAGTGTCGTTTCAGTATCCCCCAAGCTTAACCGCGACACCATTCGCATCCGAACCTCCACGACGAGCGCTCTCGAAGCGCGCAGTTCCTCATATTAAGAAATCGAAGTCTCAGGCTAAATTCCCCGCGCCAAAGTCGTGAACGTCAATCCCGGCCCTCGGCTTTGGTACGCATGCACCACTCATCTTATGCCTGATTCAAGTTTAACACTCAGTTCAGCGGTCTTTCTATCTCCAAATAGCCCGCCATGTGGTGGCTCGATCCCGGGAAGGAGGTGTTGAACATCCTGTTCAATCGGATCCTCGCTCCCTACGTCGAAAATTTGGACATGAATCAAGTGAATTATGGGATTGGACAAGGCGCGTCACAGCGCATTAATCTCGTACGAAACACGTCATTGATAGATCCACAGGACAACTCACACTGCGGAATCTCCGGCTCAAGAAGGGTGCTCTCGACAAGTTCCGACTCCCCGTGGATGTTCTCGAGGGTCAGAGAATTTGGCTCGTACAGCGCGCGATCGCTCAATCCTTATCAGGACATCTTGGAACATTCACGCTCTCGCTTCATTGGATGAACTTGGGCAATCAGCCTGTCGAAGTTCTCGTTGAAGACGTGTATCTGCTTGTGGTCCCCTCGCCACAATCCAATGATAATCCAGAAGAAGAGGAGAAGCGCGCTCAGGCTGCCAAATCAGAACGTCTCGAAAATGCAGAGCTACTCCATATGCGGGGCCAGGCTGAAAGCACAAGCGGTGCGTATATTTATCTGGGCGTTGCCGGGGCGTGGATATTAACGCGATCAGATGACTCTCCCCAATCCCAGGGATTAATCCAGTCTCTGACTGCCAAGATCATCAACAATGTGCAAGTGACCGTGAAGAACATTCATATTCGCTATGAAGACAAACTTAGTGTGCCGGGGGTGGGTCTTCTTGGCGTGAATGAAATTAGCACGACTGAACACACGCGTCAGCATCCGTTTGCGGCAGGAGTGACACTGGCTGGCTTTACGGCAGTGTCGGTCAACGACCATTGGCAAGCTGCTTTCATAGAAAGCACTGCCGGGGCCATCCACAAGGCATTTCGGTCCACTTGGTGTCTCTATGCCGCTGACACCATGGCTAGCTTGCTAAGCTGCAATCGCTGGCCGTATATTTTGACACAGACTCTGCGAGTATGGCTGGACTATCTCCGGGTGAGGCGATCAAGAAGTTCTCCGCTCTGGTCTGTTTCCCCTCGTTTCCGCAAGGCTCGGACTGAAACGTTACGCCAAGATATCCACGGAATCCCGGGACGCAAGCCATCAATTCATTTTGAAGCCTGTTTCTGGAGAGGGACGGGTGCGTTCATGTTCCCCGGTTTATGAAATGACCGCGTGAATTACTACTAGGTGATCATGAACCACCGATTCGACAAGGAGACGCCTCAATTCGATGTGCAACTTTTGTTTGATGAGATTGGAGTCGCCTTGGACGACAAGCAGTATCGGGACATCATATCTCTTGTCGATATGTATCACGTGTATGTGCGGCAGCACCAGGTACGGTTTTTCTCAGCGTGCAAGAACGCATCTCAACCGGTTTCAGTATCGCAAGTACCGCCCTGCTCAGATCGAGTTCAAGGACAATGTCGCCAAGGCCAGGCTGAAATACGCAGGTGCAGCCATCTTGGAGGGGGTTCGAGATCGAAGGCGCAAATGGACGTGGGGCTACTTCGCTGAACGGCGCGACGATCGGAACCGATACGTTGATCTGTTCATGAAGAAGTCCTTGAATACGCTCTCCGGGCCTGTAAGCCGTGAAGCAGAATGAGCGATCCCGGGTCTCATCTCTTTCAGGATGTCAAGATCCTTGATGACCTGGAAAAAAAACTTTCCTATGAGGACATCCGGTTCTACCGGTCGATCGCGCGGTCTCGTCTGCGCAAAGACATGGCCCTGCGTAAGAAACTGGAGCAGGCCAAGACAAAAGAACCTGTCAAACAGACGTGGGGTTCCTGGATCTGGGGCTCGTCTGGGTCAGATGCAAGCACGAGTCAAGAGGACCCCGCGTTCGGGGGTGCCATGACCGACGAACAGCGCAAGCAGCTGTACGACGCCCTCGATTACGATGAAAAGTCCGCTGTGCTCGAGGGCCTGTCCGCCCCACGTGACTCCGTGAAAGCTCGGATTATGGCGAAACTCAACAAAGGCACCTTTGGTCTCAAAACGCATACGGAAGAGCGCACAACAGACGCGGTCTCCGTCGTGTTCGGGCTGTTCCAGGCCGACATCATCCAGCGGACGGACAATCTCGATGCATCGCTTTCCCTGGGAGATTTCAGCATCTTTGATGGAACCACGAGTAACTCGCTGTATCCTCAAATTGTCCGTGTCAAGGACCGAGAGGACGGCAAGTCGTTACTTCTAAATCTGATTGGCCATCAGACTCATCTACCGCGGTCAGGTGATTATGGAATCCAGATCGAGGGCGACAAGAAACCCGTGCCCGAGCCATTCTTGTTCATCAAATTCGAGCATAATCCACTGGATGAGCGGGCCGATAATGCTCTGACGGTCAAAATGAGGCACATGTCGATTATCTACCACAAAGGATATGTCGAGGCTGTTTACAAGTTCTTCAAGCCGCCTGCGAGCCAGCTGGAATCGGTCGAAGCCCTATTGGTACGTGTCGGATTGCGTCCCAAGGGCTTGGCGTCTGACTCTCTCTAGAATGTCGCCAGTGAAACATTTGAGGGATTGCGCAAGGAGACGCGTGCTGGGCTTGAATACGCTTTGCAAACTCACAAGACCATAGACATTCAGATGGACATGAATGCACCCGTCATCATCATCCCAGAAAGGTGCTGAAACCAACCAGCCTCCCGGCGTGTTGCTTATCAAAGCCACACAGCGTGACCACGCACAACTGCAAGCACCTGATCATAGACGCAGGTCACATAGCCATTGAGAGCAATCTGGCTGACAAATCTGCCATTCGCGCCATTCATCAGAAGCGCAACAAGCAATATACCGATGAAGATTACCGCGAGTTGGAGTCACTCATGTACGACAAGCTTTCGATTCGTCTCGAAGCTGCTCAGGTCAGCCGTGTCCCATAGCAAAGCACACATGGCTGAAGCTGTCAATAGTTTGTGCTGGGGAATGATCTCCAATCCTGCCAAGATGCTCTGACCTCGGAGGGTGGGGACTCGCTGCATCTGCTTGAGCGAGTCAATCTGGACTTGGAGGCACAAAACTCGATTGTGCCGACAGCCCTGAATCTTGCACGGTTCAAAGTGTCTGGAAGTTTGCCCAGTCTGCAGGTTAATGTGTCGGATAACAAGTACAAGGCTCTCATGCGCTTGATTGATGTGTGCATTCCCAAGTTCGGGGACGACGACCAGCCTCGGCCAATAGTCAAGCCCGGTTCGAGCTCGTTTCAACTCCCCACGGGCCTATTCGCGCAAACTGAGCGGGAGTACAACATCGAAGATGATGAAGAGAGTCAACAACTTGAGTCGGAAGAAGACACGTTCTTCGAGGCTGATGATGGCTCGGCTCAAGTATGCGATCTGCATGCACCAGACTGTTCGCTGAACCGACTGAACAGCTGCCTGAATTGCATCAGCACATCTTTGAGCTCGACTTCAAGGTCGACAATCTGCGCGCTGCCTTGGCCAAGACGGGGAGCGATGGCGTCGAGAAGTCCCTAGGCGATGTCACCCTGGAAAAGTTCTCGCTTGGATTTGCTCTCGCCAAGTTTGACATGAAAGTGGATGTGAATCTACGGCGAGTGTAACGCAGCACATTGCGCGAAATCAGGCTGAACGTGGCGTCCCAGGTCGTTGTCCATGAGTGTGTTGCAGCCCTCGGCAGATCCCATCAAATTCGTGTCTTCCCCGGAGGCGGATTCGTCACATGACCGTGATCTCTTGAGCCTGACGTACCGACGCGCGCAGAAGGAATCGCCCGAGTTCACCACAGTGTACGAGGGGATCGATCAGAGCGTGGACATCAAGTTGTCAACCTTCATCTTCCGTGCTGCGCCTGAGCCCGTGCTGACGCTGTATGACTTCATTATGACCACCTTCGTGCCACAGTCCAGCAACACCCCGGCGCCAGTCGAGCCCGCTGATGTCCAGACGCCCTCTGCCTCGGACGGGAAGATTCGTGTGCTGGTCAAACTGGACAGTGTCCAAGGTCCGTTCGCTTGTTTCTGGTTCGTGGTGGTCTACGACTGAGCTGGGTGTAGTGATTCTGATGAACGGGATGACGAATTTGGCCACTCTGTCTCTCTCTACTGCGGATGTTTCCGTGCTTTTGCTGCCGAAGACCATGCAAGTCTCTGCTCGACTGGGTAGTCTTGCGTTGAGCAACGATTTCCACAAAGTACGGGACGAATTCAGCCAGATTCTGTCCATCGAGGGCCAGAACTTTGCCGAATTCCGGTACCAGACGTTCGACGTCGAAGAAAGCGGGGTCAAGTCCGCCGTGTACCTGAATGCGGCGTCGGTGCAGTTCCACTTTTTGGAGCAGCCGCTGCACGAGATCTACCTATTCCTTCTCAAGTTGGCGCGGTTGAAGGGTCTGTACGATGCTGCCACTCAGGTCGCTGTGCAGCGCGCGTCTGAGATCGAGCGCATGCAGTTTGACGTGTATGTCAAGTCTCCGATCATGATCTTCCCCTCGAATCCGGAGCGATCGCCGGACGTGCTCGTCCTCCGACTGGGTGAGATGTCGGCGAAGAACGAGTACGAGGGTGCGACGAACAAGATCAAGGCTAGTCTGACGGGTATCCAATTGGTGTCCAACTTGTACATCGGGGAGGAATTGTCGACGCTCAAGATCGTCGATGACATCAACATCAACACGGATGTTGTACAGACCAGCGGTGTGGACAGAACGCAGGACTTGGAGTTTCCTGATACCCAGGTTGGCCTCCTCGTTCTGGTCACGAATTCAATCTAATCCAATCTAGATCTCCGTACAAATATCCGATGTTCGATTATTCCTGACGCAAGTCCAATATGTGCAGCTCATACAGCTGGCTGGCTCGATTCCCCGTGTTCTTTCTGCAGACACTGACTTACCGGACACGGCACAGCCTGTGCAAGAATTGCCGCCGTCTCCCTCGCTCAGCATTGACGATGATGACGATGACGATGACGACGAAGACGAAGCGGTTGCCGATCTAGAGCCAGAACTCAAGCCGGGTACGACATCTGGGGGGCGAGTAGCCTGGACGACCCTGGATCTGGTCGTGGTTGTTGATGCAGTGAAGTTGCATCTCTATGACGCGTCTGCAACGAAAGAGTCGAATCTCAAAGAACACGGGATTGCACGATTCGCGCTGAACAGCAACTCGTTGCGATTCAAGATGCTGAATGATGGATCGGGCGAAGCGCAGGTCGTGCTCAAGTCGTTTACCGTCGGCAACACCCGTGCTGGGACCTCCAAGTTCCGGGAGATTATCCCTGCGGCCCAGCACGACAGAAACCAGTTTATGCTGCTTTACACGATGTCGGGCGGCGCCAAGCCCGCTGCGCTGGCGGTGCTCACCGTGGACTCGCCGCAGGTGATCTTCGCTGTGGACCCGCTGATTGCACTGCTGCAGTTCTTCATGAGCGCATTTCCGGGCAACGCTGCCGAGGATGTGGTCGCCGATGCGCCAGCCGCCGAGCCACAGCATCAAACGAACATAGACTTCCGGGTCGATCTGCACGATGTATCGATCAGCATTCTGGAGAACGATGCCGACTCGGAGTCTCCCGCGATGAAGCTGACGATCAACCAGGTGTTGCTGTCCCAGCAGGTTTGTCCCGCCTTCGTTCTCGTGTCCTTCTATTGCTGAATCCCGAGAACAGGGAATCATGGCTCTCACTGTAGGCCGACTGGGAATGTCGCTGATACGGATGGGGAGACCAGCGGAAAGTGTGCGGTTCCTGGATGATGTGGACATGACATTCTCGATGGACACGCGAGCCTCGTCAGGACAGCAGATGACGAGCATCGAGATCTCTTCCAAGCCGATCGTCTTCCGCGCGTCTTACCGCGACATTAACATGATCATGACCATTGTGAACAAGGCGATTGAGCTTTCTGGAGAGTCGCAGGCGGCGCCGGCGACGAAGCCGCAGTCGACTCGGGTTTCTGGCACTCAGGTGTCTACATCCAAGCAGCCGGCCGGGAAGGCTCGCGTGCTTATGTCGAAGGAATCTGTGCGTCTCGTGTCACCTGACTGTCCTGCGTTCTCTGACGACAGTCTGCAGCTGAAAGCGTCGATCGACGGTTTCCGGCTTGTTCTGATCGGGGACTTGTTTGAGCAGCCGATGCTCCATCTTAAGGTCAAGCCATTTGTGATGGGCGCGAAGGATTGGACGGGCGACGTGCGTTCATCTGCTTGATTGGAAACACTTGTTTTGCGAGCTGATGCATGTCTGCTGTAGCTGCAAGCCACAACTACCATAGCGACGCAAATCAGCTACTGGAATCTGGCCAATTCACACTGGGAGCCGTGTGAGTGGGACCGTTTGGTGTTGCGTCTCCTTTCTTACCTTGGCTGACTTGCCAATGTCCACTAGTGATTGACCCCTGGACATTCACGACCTCGGTCACGAGATCTGCGAGCACCGGAATCGGCATCACGCTCTCCTCGAGGGAGCGCTTGGACTTGAATCTCACGGCGACTTTCGCAGAGCTGGCCATCACTACAGCCAACGCTTGGACCCAACAGGGCGAGTTCGTGCTCAAGAAGGAACGCGGCAGCTATGCCCCCTACCGGATCAACAACAGAACCGGGTCGTCGATCTTCATTTGGCCCGATGTTGATGGAAGTACGAGCGCAAAGGATGTTGCCGCAGTCAAGATTCCAAACGACGAGACCGTCGATTGGCGGTTCGATGACTGGAAGACGATGCGAGAGGTATGATCATGTGACCGTGTTTGATGGCACGCCGCTGATTGACATCACCCAGCACATGACGTCGTCGGGACAACACAGCGTTGGGCTGCAGTTCGACGGCAAGCCGTGGGAGCAGTTGCGGAGCATCCCGGTCGACAAGGAGGGGGAGTACATTTTCAGTCTCCGCCCTCGAACGGAGAAGTTCCCGAACCGGCTTCTGGTCGAAGTCAAAGTCCAGGACACGGTCAAAGTAGTCACGTTCCGATCCACGTACAAGATCGAGAACTTGACGCTGTATCCGATTGAGATCACGCTGGTCGACAATGCCGGACATCCGACCCAGTCGCTCGAGAAGCTGGCACCGGGAGACCACTTTTCGCTCCCCATCGAGGCCGTGACGACGAATCGGGTGCGGATTCAGCCCGACCGTGAGTGGCTTGCGCGTGTTGTGTTGTTGTGTATGTCTTGATGGGCCATTAGAGGGATTCGGATACAAGTGGAGCTCTCCCATTTACTGGGAAGATCTCCTCGCCAAGCGCAACTTCACGATCAAGTGTGCGCACGCAAACCCGACCGAGGCCGCGTTCCGATTCCAGGCATGGGTTCAGACCGACGAGGGCAATTCTCGGTGCGTGAATGTGGGCTCAAGTTCGTAGAGACGCTCTTTGCTGACACGAGTAAAGGAAACACCCGAAGATCAATCTCAAGCTGCGGGCGCCCATCGAGTTGGAGAATCTCCTGCCCTACAATCTGGAGTACCGCATCTATGACAAAGACACGGATCAGAATTGGAGGAGCTACCTCCGAAAGGGTGGGATCATGCCCGTGCACTCTGTTGAACTCAGCCACCTGGTCCTGCTCAATGTCGAAGTGCAGGACACTGGTCTGTGATACTCTACAATCGCTCTATGATGTGCTGACGACACGGCAGTCTTCCGGCCGAGTGATTTCGCGATCATCAACACGAACCATCACTCGGACTTTGACATCGAGGGCCGACTGACCCTGCGGGACGCGAATGACAGGAAGCTCGACCTCAGACTGAATTATTTGCGCTATCCCGACTCGGGCGGTGCTTTCAAGGTACAGATCTACAGCCCGTATGTCGTGGTGAACAAGATGGGGCTTCCGTTTGGTGTCCGGTCTCGGGCTGGCCGCACTGGGTCTCCGCAGGATGTCGCTGGCGAAACTCGTTCAGGTCAGTGTCCTTTTTTGTCGATAATCTGTTGATCTGACGGGTATGTTGCAGAGATACTCGCACAGCCGCAACCGTTTTGTGCGTAGGATGGGTTTTGTTGAAAGGGCGTTAGTGACATTGGCTGCAGTGCTTTCTCACCCGAACGACAATGGCCACGACTATGTGTTCCGTGTGGGAGATTCTGTGTGGTCGAAGGTGCTGAGCTTCGAGGCTCCGTCTGCAGAAACCCAGCTGGCCGTTGCCTCGCAGAAGCAGAGAGCAGACGAGATTCTGATTGGGGTGTCCTGGACGGAGGGCCTGGGCAAGTACAAGCTGACCAAGGTCATCACGCTCGCACCGCGGTTCCTGATCAAGAACAATCTAACGGAAGCCATCTCGTTCCGGGAGCACGGAGTCGCGCCCAGAGAACGATCCATCATCAAGGCCGGGGAGCGCTGTCCGCTGGAATACCTCCGGGCATCGCAGGAGCGGCTGCTCACGATTGCGTTCTCCGGGCTGAACGCCCAGTGGTCACCGCCAGTCCGGATTGAGGACATCGGGTCTGTGCACTTCCGACTGCGCTCTCCGACGACGGACGCCGTGCAGCTAATCCGTGGAGAAGTCAAAATCGATGGCTCGACGTTCTTTGTCTCTTTCTCTCGAGAGACCGACGGCTGGCCATTCCTGATCGAGAACGACAGCGACTACACTGTGACTGTCACCCAGAGGGTTCGGTCGCTTTTCACAAGATGTGATATTGGAGGCTGATCTTTTTCTCCCTCCCGCACACAGGATTCGACGGAAACAGAAGGCAACAAAGCGAATCCGGTGTACACCATTAAGTCGCGGACGGGGCTGGACTATGCGTGGGACTCTCCTGCTGCTCTCGACAAGAAGATTCTGCTTTCGATCAACGGATTCAAACGCGTGATTGACGTGATGGAGATTGGAGATCTTGTCCCGTTCAAGTTCAATGTACGTCTCTCCTCCGGCTCACTGGCGGAACACGGACGGGTGCTGAGGGCAGCGTTACAGGACAACCAGAAAAGCCGGATCGTGTCGTTGGACGTGCGGGCGGACGGGCCGAGGCAGGTGCTGCGGATCACGAACTACAACCCGGAAGTCAGTCTGTACAAGCCGAAACGCGCCAACTCGACGCCGCTGCAACGACAAGACACGATCTCAGGCAGCACGGAAGCGTTTGATGCCATCACGGAGGAGGCGCCGCCGAGCTTCGCGTTCACGGTGGACTTTGCGGGGATCGGGATATCGCTGATCAACAAGAAGATGGTCGAAGTCGTGTATGTGTCGCTGAACGCGCTCAAGTTTGAGTACACGGACAGCGCCGTGGCGCATGCGGTGACGCTGTCCTGCGGAACGCTGCAGATCGACAACCAGCTGCACGACGCGCTGTATCCGGTCATCATCCAGCCGACGCCTATTCCCAAGGGTAACAACGGGGGCACCGCCGCGCTTCCCACGGTGCAGGGCTCTGTCATCTGGCTGAAGGACCAGGGTGCGTGGTCTAGACGATGTGTGACCATCGCTGCTGACGGGACGCACAGCACATGGTGTTCTTTTCGTCAAGTACTGCTCGATCTTGCTGCAGGCGCTGACTGTCGAAGCCGACGAGGATCTCCTGTTCTCGATCTACGATCTCACTCAGATCAAGGGTGCCTCATGGGAGTCGGGCGTTTCCGAGTGCGTCAACTGAGCCTGCGAGAGTATATGCGAGGGGCTGATCACATCGCACAGTGTTTTGATCCAGCACGAGGGCGAGATCGAGGAGCCCAAGGACGTGCAGGTCGGGGAGGACTTGTATTTCGAGGTCCTTGAGCTCCAGCCGATCAAACTGTCGTTGTCATTCATGCGCACCGAGCGTGTTAGTGCAGAAGAGCAGTACGCGCCTTTAGTCTGCTGCTTCATGTTGACGAACTGACACTGTTTTTGAAGGCTGAGCATTCGGAATCCTCTCGCCGTGGTGATCAACGCGATTACGATGGCCGTGGGCAACATCAATGACGCGCCGCTGGAGATGAATGCGCTGGCCATCAAGGATATGCGTCTAACGATGCCAGAGCTGCAGACGCGCGTGGCATATCACTACCGGCAGGACGTCCTGCGGCAGCTGTATCGGATCCTCGGCTCGGCCGACTTCATTGGGAACCCGGTCGGTCTGTTCACCAACGTGAGCTCTGGAGTAGCAGACATCTTCTACGAGCCGTTCAATGGGGTGGTCATGCACGGGAACAAGGAGCTCGGCATCGGTATCGCCAAGGGAGCGGCGAGCTTCGTCAAGAAGACGGTCTTTGGGGTCAGCGACAGCATGACCAAGTTCACCAGCAGCGTCGGCAAGGGTCTCTCGGCGGCGACGTTTGATTCGGAGTACCAGACACGGCGCAGACTGGCCCAGCGACGGAACAAACCACGGCATGCTATGTTTGTCGCGCTCCCAGTTTCTGTGTTTTGTATGCTGATCATCGTGTGACAGCTACGGGGTCACTGCAGGTGGTGAAGCACTGGCAAGCAGTGTCGCCAGTGCGATGGAAGGCGTCCTGGTATACCAAATAGTCGCGGCAGTCTCGCTCTTATTCTGATTACTCTTGTCCCAGATGAAGCCGATCGAGGGCGCCGAGTCCGAAGGCGCGTTTGGATTCTTCAAAGGCGTGGGCAAAGGCCTCGTGGGTGCGGTCACGAAGCCCGTCGTCGGCGTGTTCGACCTCGCCTCGAACGTCTCGGAAGGAATTCGAAACACCACGACCGTCTTCGACGGCCCTGAGCGCGACCGGGTGCGCCTTCCTCGCCATGTTCCCTCGGACGGCGTCCTGCGGGCAAGTGTTCAGACTCAGTGGCCTGATCTGTCGGTGCTGATATCGGTTTCTTAGCCTTACGACGCTCGAGCAGCAATGGGACAGTACTGGCTGCGTGACCTCGACAACGGAACGTACCGGCAGGAAGTCTACGTCGCCCATATCAGTAAGCCACTCTTGCCTGCGTTTTCCTGCACTCCCATTTATATCATTTCTCCCACCAAGACACCCCTGGATCCGACAACGTAGTCCTACTGACGACATCGCGGGTGCTCTCGTTCTGGTCCAAACGCCTGCGCCTCGAGTGGGAGCTGCCGTTCTCGCAGGTGCAAGGTGTGACCGTCGAGGACACGGGCATCCGGTTCGCCCACAAGCAAGGGCGGGACCAGGACAAATTCGTCTACATCCAGGACAAGTCGTCCCAGTCCTGGTTCTTCTCGCAGGTCGCCTCGGTGGTCAAGGCGTTCAACTCAAAAAAGAGACAAGATGTTTGAGCAGGTAGTGTCTGTGTGTGTATTTATGTCGTTGTTGTTGTTGTACTCGTGGAACATATGTATTGTAATCGCCAACTGCACAAACTCAGCGCCACTCGCCTTTCTTGCCACCGCGCACCGGGGACACAGCCGCTGCTGGGCGGGTGCGGGACTTGACGGGCGACACGAGCGGCTTGAACGAAGGTTTCTTGACTGCGCAGACCGTTGGAGGATAGACAAAGATCTGTGGCGGCGCAGAGTCCCTACCGGCTTGACTACTACTATCGTCCGACATCTGCAGGATTCTCTGCAGTGAGGACAGAGTCTGGTCGCCGGCTTTCGGGTCAGACGAGCTGCTGTTCTTCGTGCGGTTAGGGTCAAGGGCACGAAGCGGTCTACGAGTCGGAGATGAGTTTACACCAGTCTTCGGCGCAGGCGATTTCTTTGTTGGACTTGATGAGAGACACGCTAGAGACTTTGTTTGGGCCGCAGAGCGATGCCGACCAGGAGGAATGTTGCCGTTCTTGAGTGACTTGAGCAGATCGTCCACTTGCGTCGGACGTGCATCGTGTTCCTTGCGAGTATCGTCCAGTGGGCCATACTCGCTATCTCTTGCGGCAGCAGCAGTCAAGATCTGCGCCCAGCCCGAACCGCGCCGCGCCGCCGCGCTCCGCACCGCGTCAACCAGCACAGGCTCAAACTCCCTGCCCTCCCTCACCCCGCTGTACGCGCGCTCCAGCACCGGCTCGTGCCGCCCCACCTCGACCATCAGCCCGACGAACCTCTTCAGGCAGCCCACCTCCCGCTCGAGCCCGCAGATGACCGCGCGCAGCTCGCGCATCGCGAGCAGCCCCGCGTAGTACTCGCTCGAGAAGTACGTCATGCTCGCGCTCAGCAGCGCCGTGTCCGTCGCGGCCGACGCCGCGCGCTGCTGCAGGCGCTCGTTCATCGACTCGAGGTGCGCGAGGCGCTCCTTGATCGCCGCGAGCTTGAGCACCGGCTGCGTGAGGCGGGTCTTGGGGTGCCCGATGTGCTCCTTTGGCTCGCCGAGGACGATTTCTGGCGAGCAGGGCGGCGGCGGGGCGGAGCTGGAGGAGTCGCGGTCAGGGCGGGGCCGCCGGATCCGGTATTGTTGTTGTTTCTGTTGCTGGTGCGATGTTGCTGCGGGGACATCGAGCGAGATGGGAGATGCAAGTAGGCCGGGATTGAAGCGTTGGGGCGTGCGATAGCGCGCGCAGTCTTCATCTTCCTCGACGATAGGGATAGTACGCTCGAGGAGCAGGGGTAGATCGCCGAGAAGACGCGTTTTTGAGGCAGGGGAAAAGCTGGCGAATGGCTCTGAGTTGTGTCTTCTGTGCGTGCGTGGATATGCAGAGCGAGGAGCTCCAAATTCGCGAGGTTGTGTGAGAAGATTGAACGAGCGTGGGGGTTTCGTTTCAGAGACGAACGAGAGACGAGTAAAGACAGACATGATGAGAGATGTGAGGAGCAAGGGTGCGCGGGCGACTCTACGGGATCAAAACTCGTATAGCGATCGAATTCATGCAACTTGCCCGCCCGACATGCGTGTAGAGCATCTCTTGCTTGGAGAAGGCAGAGTCAGATGATTGATAGATATTGACTTCGCAGACAATGTATTGGGGCATCAAAGCAGGGTTAGCGACCCCATTTTTCGTTAAACTTCATTCGGGCGTACTAGCCTCAACTAAGAAGTTAGCACAAAGTAAATTTGGCCCAATATGGTCGTGTCAGATTGAGGCACGTGACGTGAGTTCCTACACAAGGCACGTGATGTAGCTCTACTACCGATCAAACTTCAAGTTGGGCTCAGGTTGCCACTCGACCATTTGCCCAAAAATACCGACGTCTCAGCTGTCGGAGCGACAAAGGGCTCGAAGGGTTTCTCTCTCAGGGAAGTCCATTATTGGCTCTGTTCTCTATCGCTACAATAGTCCATCGAGTGCTCTACATTGTCCGGTTGCGCAGCACTCCAGCCACTTCAGAACCAAAGAATACGTGCCCGGCGGCGGGCAGCACTCGATTGAATCGGGACGGTGGCCCCGAGTGCGGTGGCGGGAGTGCCAGCAACGGCAGACGACACCACGGTCACCATCTTCGAAGGGACCGCAGCGGCCGCAGACACTCCGCCTTGCGCATTAGCGGCTGTGGCGGGTGCCGCCGGCTGGCTTGAGACCGCTGCCGCTGTGGTGACCGCGACTGGGCTTGGCTGGACGACAGGCGCAGTCGCGACAACGGCCGCGGTTGTCTGAACGGAAGGAGCAGTCGCGACAACAGCGGTCGGCTGGGCCGCGATCTGACTGGAAGTGGTCTGCGCTGCAGCAGCCATAACCACATCCACACCTGATGCAGAGAATCAAACGACTACACTGCAGCATAGTCCCCCAAACAACTCACAGTAGTAGTAGTTCTGGCTGAAATCCGGAGTCGCCCAGAAGAGCTGCACGACACAGTCTCCAGGGGACTGGCACTTGTTGCCAATGGTGCTAGCATCGGGAAGACGGTATTGCAGGTTCGTTTCTGCCGTGGTTGATAGCAATTTCAGCTACGATTATTATCCGAGAAGTGGTGTTACACGCACGATCCGCAGGAGTGGGTCCGGATGTCGGGCAAAAGTTGTCGAACGTGCTCAAGAATCCACCGATGATCTGCCCGGATCCACCAGTCGTCGTGTCAACCAATGAGACGTTCGCAGGGCCGCCGTGTGGAATGGTGCAGTCAACCTGCATGGACATGGCCTGCGATGCTGCAGGTTATGTAAGGGACGGCATCCCATAGACTATCTTCGCGAATGCTTACGGTTCACTTGCTGCACATTACCGGCCGGCTGATCTTGCAAGAGCTGAAACATATTTCGATGAGGGGGAGAATGGACGCAAGTCAAGTCACCAACCATGCCACGACAGAGCGTGAGATCGCATCCCGCATTCACTGGTTCTTGCTCCTCGATGTGCCCCGTTGGGTCGCCCGTCACTGACTTGAACGATGCCTGGCCACACTTCTGCAAGAACGCGTTCCCAGGCTATGAATTTGAAAAGACTTGAGTATGTGTGGAACCTTGGAACACAGCAAGCAGCTCACTGCACGGATGGGAGGATTCGTTGTTACGCGGGCATGGCCCAGAACGTGGGGAAGTGCAGAAAGCAGCAACAGAGAAGCAGCAATGAGAACCATGGTCGAGAAGAAATAAAGAATGAAGGCAAGACTAGCTCGCGAGGAAATACAAGAGAAAGAGAAAGCGGTGTGAGAGTCTCAGTCTAGAGACGGTGGAGTGATCAGCTTAGTAGCGGCGCCTGACGTCTCGCGATCAGTGCAACGCCATCAATTTGGATGCTCATGCACCCGGCGCCGCCGAGCTGTGTGTTGGCAGAGAGTCAGACAGCGCGAACGAGAGATGAACGAAACCATGTCCTCCAGGCAAGGTATACAGACGCAGTCATCAGAATTGATGTTGATGCCATTTTCAGGGTCTGGAGCCGTTGGGCTCAAAGTCCAGCCAGATACAACGTGAATTCCTGAGAACTAAAGTACATGCATATATTTTACAGTGACAATCCCTGGTTTAGTCCATTTCTTCGATTTCGATGTCGTCATCCTCGTCCAAGTCGACGTCCATTGGATCGGCAGTTCCTTCGTGATTTGGTTGGACGAGAAGCCTGTTGCTCGGCCCGTCGAAGCGGACCCGCACCAGCTCCCCATCGCGCACCCTGTCTGCAAGAATCTGCATAGACAGCGGGTGCAGCAACTCGCTTTGAATTGCCCGGTTCAGTGGCCGAGCGCCGTACTGCGGCGACCAGCCCACAGAAACCAAGTATTCCTTGGCTGAAGTGTCCACATCAAGCGTGATCTTGCGATCAGCCAGCCGTTGCTCGACCTCCTTCAATCGGATGTCCACAATCTTCAGCACATTCCTGCGTGAAAGAGCACGCTAAAACAGCCGTCAGCAGACTGTCAATGCGACACAAGACATAGTCAACTCACGAAAATGACGATCTCATCGATTCGGTTAATAAACTCCGGCGGCCAGTGGCCTTGAATGGCGCCCATGACCAACGACTTGGTTTGGGGTGTAATCGGCCCATCTCCGCTGTCGAAGATGTGCGACGATCCCAGGTTGGACGTGAGAATCAAAACCGTGTTTCGGAAGTCAACTAGCCGGCCTTGTCCGTCCGTCAGGCGGCCGTCATCGAGCACTTGCAAAAACAGGGTGATGAATTCTGTGCACAAGTTAGAATATGGTGAGGACAGTCGGATAAGCAAGACCCACCTCTGCACGCTTTCTCCACCTCGTCGATTAGCACAATGCTGTATGGCTTGCGGCGGATGTATTCCGTAAGTTGTCCGCCAGCGTCATAACCGACATAGCCCGGTGGGGATCCAATGAGCCGAGAGATGCTATGCTTCTCAGAGTACTCAGATCCGTCGATACGGATCATCGCATCCGGAGAATCGAACATTAGGGTTGCCAACTGAAATGAAGTCAACATCGGGCGAAACCTGACAGATTGACCAGAAGCTTACAGTCTTCGCCAAGAGAGTTTTACCTGTCCCCGACGGACCGGCCAACAAGAAGCTGGCAATGGGGCGTTGAGGGTTGGTCAGACCACTCCTCGACAGACGGATTGCGTTCGCGACGGCTTTGACGGCATCGGGTTGTCCAACAACATTCTCCGCCAAAATCTTCTCCATGCGAAGCAGTTTCTCCTTCTCCGATGACATGAGACGGGTCACGGGAATAGAAGTCCACCGAGCCACAATCTCCGCAATCTGGTCTGATGTGACTGTGTCAGACGTGTCCCCACCAGCGGCATCTTCGGCGGCCTTGCGGGCCTCCAGCTCGACCAGTCGGTTCTGCAGGTCAGGCAGAGCGTAGTATCGGATGTCGGATGCAGTAGCGAGATCATGCCTAGTAATGAGCTTTTAACAAAGAAAAAACATACACATGAGAAACGCGTACCTCCGCTCGGCTTCCTCAGCTTTGGCTTTGAGCTCGTCCATTCTACGACGAACGTCGCTGATGTCATCACCACGACGCTTTTCATTCTCGAACGCAGCCTTCAGTGGTTGGAGTTTATCATCGACGTCGGCGATAGCCTTTCGTGCGAGGTGTAGACGTTCTTTGCTGGCGTCATCTTTCTCTCGCTCAAGAGCATGGATCTCGACTTCCAGTTCGAGTTTCTTGCGCTGGAGTTTATCGATTTCCTCGGGTTCAGTCTCTCGGGTCACTCGAACACTGTTAAGGAAGTCAGAATAGATCGTGTCTGATATGAACGAACCAACTCACGATGCACAAGCTTCATCCACCAAGTCGATGGCGGCATCGGGTAGTCGCCGAGAAGTGAGGTAACGATGCGCAAGGGTTGCTGCTGAAATCAAAGCCCCGTCGTGGATGCGAACACCGTGATGCACTTCGTACTTCTCCCGGATTCCACGCAGAATGCTGATTGTCTCCGAGACAGAGGGTTCGTTGACGATGACTTGAGCGAATCGCCGCTCCAGAGCAGCGTCCGTCTCAATGTATTTGCGATACTCGGCCAAAGTAGTCGCACCGATGCTGCCGGACTGTGTTAGTGAAAGTCGTGGGGTCAGATCCATTCAATCACTCACCATCTCAGTTTACCACGAGCTAGAAGAGGCTTGAAAAGGTTGGCTGCGTCCATTCCTCCACCCTCGCCACCGCGACCAGCCATAATCAAGTGCAGTTCATCGATGAACAGAATGACCCCGGGGCCACCATCCTCCGAGGCCTTCTCGACTTCGTTTAAAACTGACTTTATTCTCTCCTCATATTCGCCTGATTGTTTGTCAGTTACTTATCATAGAGTAGAGATGGGATATCATACATACCTTTGTACTTGGCACCGGCCATCAATGCACCCATATCCAGTGAGTACAGACGCGCAATGAGGCTCGCAGGAACATCGCGTTTGACAATCCGCTGGGCGAGTCCTTCCGCAATGCTGGTCTTCCCCACACCAGGCTCACCGATCAGCACAGGGTTGTTCTTCGTCCGCCGGCACAGAATGCGAATAGCGCGCCTAATCTCGTTGTCGCGACCGATGACTGGATCAATCTTCCCCTCCTCGGCCAAGGCAGTCAAGTCCACGGCGTACTTCTGGAGCGCGTCGAATCCTTGCTCGGCCGTTTTCGACTCGACGCGTCGGTTGCCGCGGATCTGCTCGATAGCGGTCTTGAGAGTCGCCTCGGTCAGACTTGCCTCCTTCAGAACGGCTGCGACGGTGGCGTCCTTGAGCAGAGCGAGAAGCAGATGGTCTTGGGCGATGTACGAATCGTGCATCTGCTTCTGGAGTCCTTGAGCCTCCCGAAGCACTTTGGAAAGCGGGCCACTGATGGATGTTTCTTCGGGTGGCGGGCTTTGGGTCGGAAGGCGGACAATAGCTTTTTGGATGGCGCGTTTGGCGATGGTCTGGATCAAGGATGAGCGCCGCGTCTAATGACATGAAAAAAGTAACCTACAGGATCACCACCTGCGCGGGAAATGACGGACGAGAAGAGGGAAGTCCCTTGCGATTGGGCTGGGATAGCACCAGGCATGTCTCCGGATCCATCGTTGAGAAGAATATGAGCCAAGTGCGCAGGATGAACCTGAGCATTCGCGTAATCCTTCGCGAGTTGGATAGCAGCGGCAACGCTCTCCTGAGCCTTGTCGGTGAAGTCGAAGTTGCTAGACATGAGAGCAGTTGAGATGAATGGGTATAAGACGTTTAAGTGAAGATCGTACGCCGGACAAGCCCGAGTATATATATCTTTCACACAAACGATCTGGACTTGTGGCGAGCTGGGTAGAAGCTTGTAGAATTATGACATCATGGTTATGTCAATCCTTCCAGTCCCTTCTCTCGCCTCGGTAGACTCTCCGATAGTAGCAGAGGCGGTTCAGGACTCTCCTGACGCATCATCTCTCGGGCAGCGATTCTACAAGCGACATGTGTATCCAAGAACAAAAGCGAGTGGCTGAGCCTCCGAGGAACTATGGGACGGGCTGTCACGGACATGTCACGCCACACGTGCTGGGTCACTCCGGTCACTACCGTTCTGAAGCTCTACCATGTTCCGGCGGGCATTGTCCAACGTCGCTCGTTCGGTGCCCTCTCGCGCATTCGCCAACTCTGCAGCATCTGTCCCTACTGAAATACCTACGTCGACCAGCACACCCACCACCCTTCAAGCGCCCAACGCTCCCGCGATATGGTCCACCAACCAACAGCCTCGGACTGATGCTATGAGTGGTCCACGTTTCGAGCAGACGGCCATGGAACTCCAGCCTAATTCTCTGTCTGCAATGCAACTCATCAGCGAAGTGTCGGTAAACATGGTGCATGGGCGCAAGGCGGTCTGCGATGGTGGTCGGTTTCTGCGACTCGTCTCTCGCAACCATCTATTGATGCTGTATGCACAGGAGGAGGCCCATTGGGTCACCCTAAGATCTACCTCAACCTTGTTTGTACCTTGGCTTTTTTGATTCATTTGAACTTATGATGAGCAGGACTTGCCTGGCGCGCGGTCATGTGGGTGAGTGAAATGAATTGGTCTTGCTCCCGATCGCTTCTGACACGTCGCTGCCAGATATTGGTATGGCGACGTCGTGTATATTTCGCCACCATCTAACAGGTCGTCAGCGGCCTTCGTTTTGAGCAGGTGCATGACCACCACTAGGGATCATCAGGCTTGTGTTTTTGACAATTATCATTGTGCCGTAAAAATACAAGTTAGTTATCTACTTATGTACGGATGCGTGACCACACTGGCAGCAACTAGAAGAACACGATATGGTATAGAGCAATGCCGAAGAAAGGAGCAAACAACAACCTGGATTAGAATAGTTGCCAGTGTGCGGGGATTACGTGAGGGTGCGGCAGTCGACAAGGAGAGAGCAGTGCGAAAAAAAGAGGAAAAAGGATCAATGAGTGTCAAGCCTCAACCAGGTTCGGGAGATCTCATGTGGACAGAATACTCGCCGCCTGCAACAGCATCAAGCTGTGAAAACGGTGGGAGAACCCCAGCTGACGGTAATGGAGGCTGGTCAATTCATTAGCATCCATCCATTTTCGTTCTAGTATATGTCACTCACCACCTTGAATATCGGGTTGATGGCAGGTTTCGATGCCCCCGAGGGACCGTCGTCGGCGTTTGCATTGGCGTGCAAGGGCGACGTTCTTGGATGGAGAGGGTGGGAATGATATGAAACGGGTTGGCTGTGAGTCCACGCTGGCGACAACGAAGGCGACAAAGAAAGAGCTTGCATCGGCGGTGGCGAGATGCTGCCGGTCAGATGGCTGTCGAAGGAAGGTCGCAGGTCTTGGGACATCTGCCCATCGATCGAGAACGAATTCGATGATCGGGCTGTTGTAGGAAACTCAGTGGTGGGATAATCGTCAAACGAAGTCTGCAGCGACGACGAGGAAGATATTCGACTCATTCCCAACAAACTCGGTCGATTTCGGATGCGTGATGGTCCAGGATCGCTGTCGACGGTGGCAAATGAGATCTGCGACATACGTCCAACACTATGCACGTCGGAGGAGGACATGGAGTGATCATCATCATATTCGCGCCTCCTCGCTTTGGTCATGCGTTCTGTGTCGTGTCGCCAGTCCGTGAAATCCTGCGAGTGGTGTTGATGCTGAGGGGGAAATCGACCGGCGGCAGCGTTGACAGTGGCACCGTGAACAGCTTCAGAATTCTGTCGCATCGGTCCCGACGCAGCTTGCTTGCCCTTTTCATCCCATTCGTGACGTTGCTGCGTTCCACCATCCCACTCCAATTGACGGGCGGCGTTTTGGGTCATCATGCTCCGCTTCTGCATCACTGCACGGGCCTGTTCTCGCTGCATTTTCTCTGCAAGAGCCCGCCGCTGTTTCTCGGCCTCACGTTGTATGCGTTCGGCTTCCTTCTTGTTCTTCTTCGCGTCGATCCGTCGAGGTGCTTCCCGGACAGGAGACGGCTCGCGCAGCGACCTGCTGTCACTGCTGGACGATTGAGAACGCTTCAAAGAGGGAGTCGAAGTGGATGCATTGGCCATTTCATCCAGAGACGGCAAGGGGGGCATTCCGTTGTGATGCGATTTATCACTGCCGAACATACCGCCCAGGCCCCACCCGCTGCGTTTCTTGCCAAAGCCGAGAGAGCCCAACTTGCCCAGCTTGTTGGACTGTGTCTGACTGCCATCAGAATGGTCGTGGTGCGAATCGGTGCGGGATGGAAACTCTTGAGCGATAGGCGACGACTGGATATCCATGGGGACGCCACTGAGATACTCATCCGAGATCTGAGGCGACACATCCATGTTGTAATCCGTGGTGACTTGGATATGATCATTCCAGACGGATGAAGCCAGTGCAATAGAATGACGTCGGTCCTCAGGGAGATGCCCAGAAGGGTTGGGCATCGGGTGGTGATGATACATTCCGATGTCGTGCGCGTAGTCCGAAGCTTTCGATGATGAAGGATAGGAAGAATGAGTGGAGACCGAAGGGGCGTTGAGATATACACGGTGTGGGGATGCCTCGTGGGATGGAAAGCCGGACGATGAGGAGGATGGTGAAGCGACACTCCGCGGTTGTGACGGCACATTGGTGGCCGTCCGGATGCCAGGTGGAAAGGGGATATTATTGCGAGGCGTGGTTTCTCGCAAATATGGATGATCTAAACATTGCCTGCTGGTCAATCTGGCACCCGGCTCGTATTTGAGCAAATCTCGGATGCAGTGAACAAGCGACAGCGGGACCGCGGGGAAATGTGGTTCCAGAGGGAATAGAGCGTACACGTTCTTGGGTCGTGTCTGTGATTGTGGTCAGTCCATCAGCCCTGAGATGTCTGCCAATTGTACTCACCTTGCGGAAATTGAACCCAGTGGCATTCGCCATCTGAATTCCCCTCGGCCATGGTCCGCCACCGACAGGGACATTATGATCATCGAATCCATACACATCACTGGGGTCCCCGAGCACGTCACAAATCCGCGCCAGCTGATCCATCATGTCCATGCCAGGAAAAAGAGGTCGGAGATTGATTAACTCTGCCATGATGGTCCCAAGCGCCCACATGTCCACAGGTGTGGAGTAATCGTTGCTCATAAGCAAGACCTCTGGGGCGCGATACCATCGCGTAGAGACGTATTCAGTATATGGAGGCAGACTTCGAATCTCCCGCGCGAGACCAAAGTCGGCCAGCTTGATGATTGCCACCACGTCTTTCTCCGCAGGAGCGTTGGGGGGTGCGTGCGGATAGACGGGCGTATATTCATGGAGGCCCGTGGTTGTGACAAGAACGTTTTCGGGTTTCATGTCACGGTGAAAATAGCCTGCGCTGTGGATATGTTCCAGACCAGCGACCATTTGTCGAAATATGGAGGAAGTGAGACCGCCCGCGAAGGGACGGCCCTTGCGAGCTTTGACGAGGTGATAGAGATTGCCTTCCATGGGTTCAAAGACGAAATAAAGCTCCTTGGAATCAGGCTGGAGGAAGAAGTCGTACAAAGGAATGATATTGGGATGAAAGGGGATTGCTCGCAGGGACTACGATCCAGAAAAATTAGTGCATGTATTGGAGTTGGAACGTATTGTTACGCACCTCGAGTTCTTTTAGACGTTGACACTCGTCCCATCCGCCCTCCCATCTTCTTCGCATCCGCTTAACTGCTACCAGACGTTTACCAGTCCACTCCGGTTTCGCGCCGGCACCACATTGCATTGCAGAGAGCGGGGTATTGGGGGGTAGGGTCCCATGCCAATCGCAAAGCCAGACTGTGCCGAACGAGCCATCGCCCAGGCTCTTGATTTCGGTGTAAGAACGAGTCGAACCTGAGGGAACGAGGCGGGTGAGATATGACACGGAGATAGCCTCGGTGAACGCACAAGACTGCGACGACCCAACGACGAGCTGATTGTTCTGGATGGTGACTGCGGGGACACCAACGAGGACTGTGGGCGCCCGTGGGGGCCGAGGTGTTGGGAAAGGTGATTGTTGCTGCTGCCTGCGCGAGCCGTTCGGGAATGCCTGGGCATGGGAGACGGCCTGCGGGTGGTGGGCGGACTGTGCATACATGGAGGCATTTCTTAGCAGCGCATGAGGGTGACGGGAGAGGCGAAGAGCAGGTCGGACGGGATGGGCTTCGAAGAACCAGAAGCAGAGTAACAGTGCAGGCGTGACAGGCTGCAAGGCTTCTTCGGCTCACGACCGCTTTGATGCCTCTTTGGGCGAAAAAAAGGCCTGGGCCCGGGAGCGGATCTCACTCGCAAATCAGACATCTCTTTCCGATCTTACCGGTGTTGCCACTGTTTCGCAATCTTGACTGGCAATCTTGTCCATACGAGACGTGTCTAAAATACATCCATTATACAGCAGGAAAGCAAGATACAAAATATTAGCTGTTCGATAAGACATTCAGTGTCGAGAGAGGGTGAAGAGAGCGACGGGGAAATCAAGACCAGCGACGGACGGGTGATATCCGTTTAAGAGCGCCCACTGTTCAGGATCGACAGAAGAGCCGGATTAGGCGACGACTGTGAGAAAACAGGCGATGGTCCGTTGCTCAAAGTCGGCCCGACGCCGGGTACACCGTATGGCGCATGAGGGTACACCGGCCGCCAGACTGCACCGCCACGCATCAGAGCAGGTGGAGATATCGGTGAGCGCATCGGGATCGGCGAGGCTTGCGGCGGGCCGTTCATGAGGGAAAGCATCTGGTTTTGGGTCATGCTCATACTTGCCTGACGCATGGGGGCGCCAGGTCCGAGCCCGTGGCCATGGAACGCTTGGCTCGTCCATGGTCGAACCTGGAATGGGTCATGCGCCGCAGACGAATACAGCAAAGTGGGGTTCGGGCTCGGAGCATATAGTGGTGCCGGGGGCACCGACGCCGGCGGCAACGGTGGAGGAAATTGGTACGGTGCCTCATGCCGAGTCGGCGATGAAAGAACCTTGGCAGACTCGTCGGCCACGCTCTCGAGAAGCGCCAACTGCCTCAAGCGCTTCGCGTTACTGGGCATCTCGCCCGATCGAGCAAGATATGGAGAGATGTCGGCCGTAGCAATCCGACGCGATCCAAATGAGCTCCCAGAATGCGTCGACGAGGTGGCCGACAGGGGCACCTCAGTCGCATTGGCGGCGCCGTTAAGACGGGGACTCAAAACGAGCGGCGACGGGGATTGGAAAGTGGTCCTAGGCTGTAAAGATTGAGGTTGCAAAGACTGGGATGATAAGGTCTGCGGCGGTAGAGCTTGAGAAGAAGCCTCTTCGCCCTCAGAATCGTCTGGAAGATCCTCCGAAACGACAGCAGGCGTCGAGCAAGACCAATCCGTCTCGGATATGGCCCCAGGCGCAGACGGGACTGGTGTAGAACTCTCCAACACTGCCTCTAGCGGCTTCAATGTGGGACCAGTTTGGGCAGAAAGAGCCAGAGACGAGAGCAGTCGCGCGAAGTGGGGATCGAGGGCCTCGCCGTCGAGGGAACTATGGGCAGTAACCACTTTCGTTGGAGCCGCCGTAGAATACAGAGGGGAAGGAGTGTGGGGGTCGCTATTTTCGAGCGATGACTGCGAGCTTGACTCCTGGGTAGCGTCATGATACACAGGTGACCGTTGGACATGAGCGCCATTGGGCAACGCCTTCTTGGATTTGGGTGTCTTCCGTGGCGTAGTTTGCTGCTTGTGTTGATTGATGAACGCTTTCAGTGGGCTTGAAAAATCAGCTGAAACGCAAAGCAAGTAAGCTTGTCGCACTCACCCAATAAAAGGAGAAATGAGATAGAATTTGCCGGGTACGGTCTTGTTGCGTTTCCACGTTGGTAGATCTACTAATCGAAACCATTCGATTTTCTGCAAAGGCCCAAACTTGGTACAGGAGAGCGGTGGCTGGAATCCAAGCACGTACGCTAATTTCTTTGCGGGTTTTCGTCTTGAAAGGAAAGTCTTCGGGGATGCCGGGTACTATGTACAAACAAATTTTCTGTTCTCGGATGGAGAGTTCGATCACGTCCTCCTTGTTCACTCGACCGGCCAAATTGAAGCCGGTTTCCTCTAATACCTGATAGCCTTGTCAAGAGGGCAAACGAGACGGATCGAAAGCGTACTTCTCGAATGGCACAGCTATGCGGAGGTTCGTCTTCGTTGATCTTTCCCTTGGGAAAACCCCATCCTGATGAAGACTTCCACCCCTTCACCAAGACGCACTGTAGCTACGTTGAGGACGAAGATCTCTCGAGTGGGACATGCTGGCGCACCTTGTCCCAAGCATCATTCAGCATGATCGCCCCGCACACCGGTACTCGCGTCTTGTACTGCATGAACGTGTTGAAGGCTTGCTCGTGATCGTGGCTCCACTGGTGTAGAAGTGGACAAGCGTGGAAGAGCATTGCGGAGAACTTCTTGAGAGGTAGCGAAGGGAACTTGGGATTCTCTTCTCGGATGAAGTCTTCGTAGAACCAATGTCTGCTCGAGATGAGTGAAAACGAAGGGACAGGGAAGATGCACCGGCACTCACGCCTGTTCCACTTGGAAACAGATTCGTTCCAGTGAGGCAAGCTCTTCGTCAGGAAGATTGAGAATGAAGCGACTGTTGCGGAAGGGATCAACGAGATGTCCGGTTTTATCGACGATTGAGTCTACCTGGAGAGATCCTCCAGAACCTCTTCATGAGTCGCATGTTTGTAGGAGAATAGGTGTTCGTCGGTGCTCATGGCAGCTGTGATTTCTGGAGACGAGGAGGAGGAGGATGTCATGGTATTGCTGGTATGATACAGTGCCCCGGGTGGCACGCAGTGTTAGAGGGTTGTTCAAGGTCAAAGTGAGGTGGGCCAAACATAAGCCCACACTCGCCGATCTTGCTCCACGTGACTCGTCCGGACAATGCGACTTCGAATTGCGGGAATTTCATTTGAATGCGTAGAAATACAGTGTACATGAGAAATGCATACAAAGATGAGGAATCCATCAAGGGTCGGTGTCGGATCTGAAGCCCATCCTTCTAACATATTCCCGCTGTTCCTCTATAGTCAGTCTGTCAGAACCCGTCCAGTTAGCTGAGCTGGTCCTGGCTCTGAAACGACCTGTCCGGTTGCGGAAAAGTTCGTCCATTTTCAACGGTCGGATGGCGCCAAAGATGTCATCGGGGTTGATGGTGCTCTGGAGCTCCAAGGCCTGGCGCAGATCAGGTGACTGCGCCCATGATGGGGGATCAAAGCTCCGGGGCCGATCTTCGTCGTCCGAATCCGAGTATTCGCTGTTGATATCCGGTAGTTCAATGCTCTCGCTGGGAATAGGGGTCGGTATGACATTTGCAGCTTGTAGTTGCGCTTTGGCTCGAGCAGCCATCTGCGACTGCAGCAATTGTGATGGATGGGTGATGTCATCGTCCGCTGCCTTGGGCGCAACCTTCACCGCCAGTTTGGAAGAGCTCGCCTCAGCCTTTAGGTTCGCGCTCGACGGGGTCTTGGACAAAGGCTTCAGCGTTGGTTTAGAGCTGGATGACGCCGCTAGCGCGGCAGTCTTGGCCGAAGGTTTCTTGATTTCCAGCTTCTTTTCAGGTTTGGCGGCCTTCTTCGGGGCTTCCTCCTCCTGCCAGGCTTCAGCGACGATGTACATGATTGCATCAACATATACCATACCTTCTTGGGTCCAGGGATCGCGGTGCCCTTTGCGCCAACTCTCTTGTCCGAAACGTCGTCGCGTTCCTTTTTACGACGATCGCTTTCCTCCTTGAGTTTCCGCTCTTCATCTTGAGCCTTGGCCCTTTCTTCTTCTACCTTCCGCTGGAGTGCGGCATGTCGCCGGTTCTCCATTTCCTTCAATCGGAGAGCCTTCTTTTCCTGCTCCTCGTGTTGCTGTGAACAGTTGAGCACATGACTTCTAGGGTGCATGGGACAACGCACCTTCTTTGCGGCAGCAGCGGCCAGCTGTAAGCTCTTGACTTCGGGCTTGCCTTTCTTGCTGGTGCCCAGCATGCTGTTCGCCAGTTTGGAAGCAGTGCTGAAGAAACCACCTTGAGAGGAGGACGAGAGCATAGATAATTGGCTCTGGCTGCGACTGGCAGCGGGCTGGACGTAGATTGGTTGAGGGTGGGAATGAGAATGAGATGAATGGACTCACGTTCACGAGATGCACCGTGGACTGCTTGAAATCGACCTCCATGGCGTCATCTCCGAATTCGGCATCACCACCAGCGTTCTCGGTTGACTCTGGCATCTCCTCAGCTTCGGGTTCATCTTGGAGAATGTTGGTGTGGCCTGTTTCGTCGAGCCGGCTGTGTGTGACTGGACCGGTGTCACCGCGTTGGCTCGAAGTTGGAAGCGTGCTCCAAGTCATGCTGTCCTCCTTTCCGTGGACATTGAACCAAGGAACGCCACCAGCAGAGTCCAGAGGCCAACTGTCGTCCTCATCTGGCGGACCCCGAGGTGGCGAGCATTGCGACTGAGAGCCGAATCCGGTGGTGTACTCCGTGTCTTGCGTGGCCGGCATCCAGGCAGCAGTCTCGCTCTCGCTGTCAAACAGGGCATCTGACTGCAAGCTCTCTAAAGTAGATTGGTGAGACAATGACGGCGCCACTTGTTTCGGCGATATCAACCGAGGAGCAAGACCGAGTGCCATGGAGGCCGGCTTTCCGAACGCAGGGTTCGATGTCACGCGGTAAGGCGAAGGGGGTTTCACAGGAGCAGGAGGGATGAAAACAGGTTTGTTGAAGACAGGCGGTGCAGCTTGTGCGACTGGCGGTGAGTTCGGGGGCGTCGTGGTTTTCCTGCCATGAGATACAACGTCAATGGCTCGTGTTTCGGAGGCAGTCATGAGCTCAGATACACTCAGGCGACGATCCGAATGGGATTCTGGAGGTGCTGGAGACGCCTCCGGATTCAGGTTCGCCTCTTCCTTGTCAAGTCGTTCAGCAAGTCGGGCCTCAGCAGCGGCACGAGCTTCAGCCAACGCGGTGGCCGCTGCTCCACCCAGAGATTTGGTAGGCCCGAAACTCTTGCCTAACCGTCCTATATCGCCGACAGTCTTCTTGAGCTGAGCCAGTAACCCCACTTCCTCTTCCAGAGGACTCGTCCGTGCTGGTACTGTCGACTGAGGCGTAGGTGCCTCAGCCAGAGGAGAGTGAGCGGGCTCAAGATCTGTGCTAGCCTTCTTAGCTATCTTTCGCTGTCGCTCCTCTTCGCCCGCAGCAGGTATGTTCGGTCCAAACACGTCAGCACTCTTGCGTTTGTTCCCACCAGAGCCAGAAGCTTCGGGTTCGACCAGAGGAGGGATTGAGGAAGAAGAGCCCGTCACTGGCTTATCCAGCGGCTTCTTGGTGGTCATCTCGAGAGCCTTCACTTCACGCGCACGGACAAGCCACGATGATTTGCGTTTCCCTAGAGCTGCTCCTGGTGTCGCAGTCGATACCAGCCCATTCGAGTTCGCCGCCTCGGTCGGCGCTCGCATGGACTTGCGGAATATCATCGGCGCCGGTAACGAGGGAAGAGAGGCGAGGCCACCATCAACATGGTCATCGGAGTCCTCAGCCTCCACGACAGATGGCAGAGTAGTAGAAGATTGGTTCGGAGTTGGCAAACTCATTACTGTGGGTTCAGCGGCATCTTCGACGACGACCATTGGTTCATCGTCCTTCGTATCAGCAGTCGCGCGAGGGGCGTTGGGAGATGACTCAGAGACAGGCTCGAGTTCGATGGACTTGTCGTTCGTGTGGTTTGGAGAGCGCGAAAGAGGATCGGACGCGTCTGCCGAAGCGCAGTCACCAACAGAAGCATCCAACAAAACAGCCTCAGCTGCTATAACACCTTCCATGGGAGCGGTATGGAATGAGGAACGGCTGCGCTCGGCTTCGTCGTCCTCTGCAATCATAGAGAGATCGTTTCGTTCTGCCACGGCAGGCACGAGCGCATTTGACGACCCGGAGACCTGGTCCTCGCTGGCAAGTTGGAGAAGCACGTCCCGATCCACCACGACGTCAATATGATCCACCGCTTTCGAATGCGGCGGCGAAGCGACAAGAGATCCATGAGATGTGGAAGATTGTGATGCAAAGGGTTTCTCGGCCGTCTGAAGTAGAGCTCGATGGAAGTTATTAACAGGAGCTATGTTCTCCTTCGATCCAAGCTCATCCTTGTCCTGTACTCATGAATAACGTTCCGGGGGGAAATTCTGATGGCACACCTCAAGAGACACCGTTATTACGGACTTCAGAGTTGTACTGGACACAGGCTTCTTCATCGGAACTCGCTTACGAGCAGGAGTTTTCACCAGGTCAATAAGAGGGCTTCTTAAAACCCTTCAGCCAAGTCACCAGCATAGAGAAACGGGCGAGCTCACTCTTGACGTGGACTCGCGAGGATGTTGTCTAGATAGTCGTTGAGGAAATGGAGACCTTGCTTCTGTATTTGGCCTTCAAACGCCGGCCGACCAGGATCGTTGGCCATAGAAAAGCGAGTGGCATTGCACCACTCCAGTAGACCGGGGTCAGTCATGTCCTTGCCGTTGATGGTTGAATCGAAGGGATAACGCGTTGTGGCTTGTTTGTCAGCCATCACATGATCGAAATGGTATGCACACGCGTTCGCGGATCCTCATCATGATGGCTAGACCTTGAGGCTTGAGTGACGTAGACAACAGCACTAACGATGTCCACGCTGCCCTTCTGTTCTGCTCCTCAACATGGAGTCCTCTCCCCGTCCCTCTGTGTCTGCCGATGAAGATGTTCGAGAGGACGATGAAGTTAGCGTCACGTCGACCAAGACTGTGGACGAGAACAACATGAGCGAACGGCAGCTCAGAGACCTGTACGACAGTGAAGAGATCGATCGCTTCCTAAGCCTGTTCTCTGCGGTGCGATATTCCGCGTACTTCCGTATATGTGCTAAACGTCCTGGCCCACCAGTATGTTAATGAGGTCGAGCTACAAGAGGAAAACGAACCACCTAATTCTCCGGACTCGTTGTGGAGCATGGGCACATCTGCTATCAGTCTCCTACAACAGGGCAGTCAGCCTTCAGCAGAACCAAATTTCGTCGACGGCAATGACAGCTCTGATCCTGATGACCCCCAAACACCGGAAGTCATTGTGCCCTCTACTTTTTCAGAGCGGATCGCTCAGGTCAGCGATTGGACTGGCTGGCACGGACTGTATATGGGGACTGATTCATATAATAGAACTTCCTTTGTCCTGTCCTGCCGCCTTCGAAATCAACACCCACTTTCACCCTCGGAAGACTGAGATTGACTACACAGCGGCTTTATCTGGCCACCCTTCCTGTATATGGCCCGTTCTTGTCTAGTCTAGCACGACTTGCCACCTGGGAAAATCGATACGAAAGCTCTCTTTTCTGCTCCGTTCGTTTCATCCAATACCCAACTTCACATGGCTCACCGGCAGTATAGATATTTTGGCTTTTGTGGTACTACAACCTCCTTCTCCCGGCGTTGTTTTTCCGAATGTTCTACTCCCTTCTTCGCCGGAAAATCTTCTCGTATCCAACTCTTGCTGAACTCAAAGCACATCGAGAAGAGATTGATCGTGCCGATGAATTTGGACAAGAATTCTCCACAAGATTCTCTGCATCATCTTCTTTAGGTCTCAAAGAGCTGTGGCGACTGTTCAAGGTGTTCAATAAATCTAAGAAATCGAAGGCGAAGAAGCTGGCTACGCGCGCTCAGAATGTCGCATCGCAAGAGTCGTTGCAAACCCTGGACGAGTCTGGAGAGGCGGCTCCCACCGTCTTGGATTCCGATGACACGAAGGAAAATGTTGAGAATGACCTGAAGCGGGTCGGCCTCCAAGTACTCTCCGAACTTGCCGATCTACATGAGCGCATCAAGAAGTAGGCACTCCCTTTCGTCTAGAATGATATTGAGCTGTCGCTTATTGCATTTCAGTATCTTCATCTGGCGCCGTCCTGCCTCATCAAAGATGTATGGATCGGTATGTCGTCCACTCCTTTCAGCTCGTCGATTTGAGCCTTATCCCGTCGATAAGATCATACTTTTCCTGGCTCTATTCACCCTCGTGATGCCTGCCAAGTACATCGCCAAAACAATCTACTTTGTCGGTGGATTTATGTTCTGGCATCTAGTGCCAATCATAGCTGCTCTGTCTCCAGCGGATCGGTCCCGGTAAGAAAATAACCCCACTTCAAGCTTCATAATTCACGCTTCAACAGGTTGCCTCCTCCTTTCATGGATGTTCCCACTGATGCAGAGTACGCAATGGACCTCATCTCCCAGCGTGTAGCTGCCGGTCTTGACGTCCGACCGGCCAAGATCCGTCCAAGAGATAAGAAGGAACCAAACAACGAAGTTGACCAGGAGGAAAACTTCGATGCGTACCAGCCTTCGTCTCAAAGAAAGCTGGACTCCAATTTAAAGAAGCTCGCCCATCGTGCTGCTGTCGGAAAAGCATGGATCCAAGAGGGGAAACGTGCGTTGAGTCCGTCGAACGATCAGGTATTGCAAACATCTTTACTTTCGAAGCAAATCGCTCAAATCCTACCTCCAGCCCGGTGCTAGACCTCATGCAATCGCTGATGCGCACAGTGTGTGCTTGCGTCTGTCCGTGTTCCGATTACTCACGTTTCCGCAGCATTCCCGGCGCAGCACTCCAATGCACCGGGCTTGATCACGTTGACTCCCGATACTCTTTTCTTCACTCCTATATTCTCTTCCAACTCTAAGATCGAAATACCAGTCTCGGCTTTGAAAGGTGTCAAGAAAAAGAACGGATTGATGAATGCGCTCGCGATCACGTGGACCGATGGCAGTGCCGTCGATAGAGAAGAAAAGTTCAGATGGGTAGGCGCCCGCGATGAGCTGTTCGCTCGTCTCGCAGGTACAATCGGAGGTAAAAGAATAATCAAAGCGTGATCTCATGTATCTAAATACTCATCTGTCCTATATATACGCGATGGAAGGACCACATCCGAATCAGGAAAACTACTTGCCATAAATGGCTGTCATGACACATTTGCACAAACCGCGAATAAGACGTTCAGCTGATGTCTCTTGCTCTTTTCCCCATCCATATCGTTCGTAATCAGCTAACTCCCTCTTCCAAAGCCCCAAAAGTCGTGCGTGTCACTGGCGCGTCGTACACGTTCTCTGCCGATATCTGCAGCATCATGTTCTTCTCACCCGAGCTGCTGGCCAAGCGCGACAGCGGTTTTGGTCTTCTCTGGTAAACCTCGTCTAAATAGTGATTTCGATATTTGACGCGTAATCATCAGGCTGGCCGCGACATTGGGGGCCAAGTCGACGTTCAAGAGGCTTCCAAAGCGTTCGGTCCTGACAGCAGACATCGCTCAGTTGTGCGACTTGATCGCGGAGCCCTCTGAGCCTTTGGCTCTCAGGTATGCTCAGATGTGTCATCTTTCTTGTTATGTGCTCATGCTGGGATGAAGACTGTCCAGTAATTTAATGGTCGGAGTAGCACGGTGAGCAGTGTCCATCCTTACTTGCCTGAAAGACAGGCACCGATTCCGCATATATCCAGTGTTTATAAAGGTGAGGCATGCACTCACTCGTACCGATATCGCTAATGAACGAGACTAATTGTCGTAGTGAAACAAGAGATCTTCTACACCGACGTAACCCACTGCGTCACGTCACTCAAGAAAGTAGTGCAGGAGATCCAGTCTGCAGCCACATCTGGAACATCAATGCAGATGGCGCAGCCGACCGCCAAGTTCGTTCACTTTCTCTGCCTGTTCGCGCCCTGACCAGCGCACAGACATTCAGCGTTGACTCTCTCCAAAGATCCACGAGCTGCGTTCCTCATGGACTTCGATGCTCTCGTTGCGGTAAGGCAAGCTCTCACCGCTTCGGATGAGACCGTTGACATCAATAGGACTGGGACGAATTCCTGAACATCGGGAACGAAGCAGATGGCGATGAAGATTCCGGCGACGAGTTCGATCCTAAAGCAAAGTCTGGCAAGGCTAAACCGAAATCAAAACTCAAGGCACAGCCGTTGCCAGCTGAGGACGCCAGGGCTGACATGTACACTTTGAAGGAGCCTGATCTCATCCTTTCCAACTCCTTCGATCTTTCCTTCCATGCGAACGGAGGAGAACCTTCTTCGTCACAATTCGGTGGAGGCTTCGACATGAACGACGCGTTTTCGGGTGGAGCGGATATTCTGGATCTGGGACTAGATATCAGTGATGAACTGGCGAAAGAATTGGGAGAAGGCTGGGGCACTCTTCCCGATCAACTGAAGTGCGTCCTTTTTTATCAAATCGAACGAACGAGAGTCGACTGTGAGATAGTGACATGATGATTGACGATCCGTTTCGCAATAACGAGCTTGACGTGCCGATGGACATAGACTTTGGCGTTCAAGACCCTTTTGATATACCATTTGATCCCACTCCGAGAAACCAGTCGATGCCACCCGCAACTCCTAGAAAGAGAAAGGTGAGAGATCCTAGACTTTGATGGCAATGTTGACCGAACTTCTCTGATCAGCAAGGCGACACTGAGCGCAATAAAGGTGATTAGCAGATGAAAACGAGCATGGACGCTCAATGGCTCCACAGAGAATCTGCTCCCTTCCAATTTGAGGCAGACGCCAAACAGGGGACTTTCCAAGAGTCCCGCACCAACATTTTCGCAGCAGCTGCTATCGCAGGACAGAGAAGAGGCGCAACTCCCACTGCAAGATATCACCGAACAGAACAGGGAGCCAGGCAATAGGGCAACAAAGAAAGTGAAGAAAACTAGACTTCTGTTAGATGCTCGCACAGAATTGACCGACGAGGAACTGAAGGTAAGCACATTTTTCCAACGGTCAAACGATCGATTCTGACGTGGGTTCTTAGCTTGCTCGTGCCGAATACTTGAAAGGACAAACGATCCTTCGACGTGAATTGGAGCAAAAGAAAGCAGAGAAGGATGGTGCAAAGATTTTAGAGGAGCTGATGTGGGGAGTTCCTCGCGGATGTGAGAGCGACGCACATATGATTTATCACGCCTCATGAATATCTTCTAGTGCAAGCAGAGCCGCTTGTGGAATTCTGGCAGGAGAACTTCAAGGTACAAGTTGAAGCCAGGACGGGTGTCGTATTCCTCCATCCGAACGGTTGGTATTGTCGGACTACATGAGAGTAGCCTGAAACAAGATAACAGATGAGCCACCAAGAAAGCGACGCAAGATCAGAGGTGAAGCTATGCAGGAAGACGCGGACAACGATCGGCCAGAGGATGAATTGAGGGACCGGGCTCTGGACTATGGCGATTTCAACATGAATGAAATGGGATTGGAACTGGATTTGGGTGGTAAGTGACGCATCTGCGTCATGTACAGACAAACCATTGATGATTGAAAGAACACGGTCCTTCTAGACGGTCCTCTGAGGTGACTTGCGCCATTCTGAAACTATGATAAGCTGAGATGACGACAGGAACCCGGCCAAGGACGTAACGGCACTCGACCGCCGTCGCTTACGGGAGACAGATTCGAGCCGCCCGCTTCTGGATCACAACGGAGCTCTCTGTTCCCTTGGGACAACGCGGGTGGTGTCTCGTCTAGCGCCGGCGGATTTGGACCTATAGGGAGCGATCGTGTCAGCATCGATCGAGCGGACATCCGGATGAGAGGCAGCTCTCAAAGCCGTAGGGAAAGCTCGCTTATTCCCAGCCAAACGGGAAGCGTGATCGACGGACTCGAGTTCTCGCCGAGCGCCGCGAAGAACGTGGACGATTATGAGTTCGATGGTGGGACTGCGCGATGTGTTGAGAGAAGATTGCTCATGATTTTCCAGTGGGCCATCAGGGAGAGAATTCCATCGACGAGTCGCAGCGCTCGGAGATGAACTTGATCACCTTGGAGAGAAATTCATTCAATTTTCTGGAGTAGGTTGGGTATCAGACAAGTCGAGCAAAGCCTAACCGTTGCACAGATATGTTCGGATGCAGCAGCAAGGCCTCCCCGGAACTGTGAAAGATCTGAGCTTCGACGGGGTCGTGCCCATGGACACTAGCACCCGCCATGTAGCGGCAGCGGCCTTTTACCACTGTCTGGGTAAGCCGATGAGACCAACCCCTGTTTCTACTGTTCAACACAAACTACACAGTGCTGGCGACTAAGGATTTGCTGCATCTCAAGCAGAAAGAGCCATACGGACAGCTGTGGATCACGATTTGAGGAGAAGATGGTCGGTTCTCCTTAAAGTACTTGCTGATAACGTAATCAATAAAATGTTCCTGGACCCATACTTCCCACTCGTACCATCGCTATACTGTCACAGTATAGCCCGATATCGAGCTGTCTTCCGTTTCTCTTCGTCTTCTCCTTAGCCGGCGTGCATATCGTCGTCTCCCCACCTTCCCTCTCCATCGCAATCCGCCCTTCCGAACGCACATGTCGTCTCCCGCCGTTCTCGCCGCAAAGGCGGCTCTTGCCAGCATCGATCTGTCCAACTATGACCCCGAGCAATCCCGCCTGATGGACGAGCGATGTATCCTGGTCGATGAGGATGACAACGCCATTGGCGCGATGGACAAGAAGACGTGTGCGTACTATCGTCACCGTGTCCGACGCGGCTGGCTCACGGAGGCACAGGTCATCTGATGGAGAACATCAATAAGGGCTTGTTGCACCGAGCGTTTTCCGCGTTCGTGTTCCGCCCCTCCGATGGCAAGCTGCTCTTGCAGCAGCGCGCGACGGAGAAGATCACGTTCCCGGACATGTGGACGAACACCTGCTGCTCGCATCCGCTTGATGACTTTGAGATCGAAAAGGTGGAGAAGGAACAGCTGGGAGTGCGTGCTGCGGCCTCGAGGAAGCTGGAACACGAGCTCGGCATCCCGACGAGCCAAACACCTGTCGACGAATTCCAATATCTCACCCGCATACACTATCTTGCTCCATCCAATGGAATGTGGGGCGAACACGAAGGTGAGTTCATTTTCTTTCCTGCGGTAAACGCGTCTGACACGCCCAAGTCGATTACATTCTCTTCTTCACTGCCGACGTAACTGTCACTCCTAATCTGAACGAGATTCGAGACTACAAATATGTCGACAAGGCTGAGCTACAAGCAATGTTCAAGGACGAATGTATGTGCATGTGCATCGATCATTCAATTCCCGGGCTGTAACGAATAATCTTGCAGCCAACTCGTTCACACCTTGGTTCAAGCTCATTGCGCGAGACTTTTTGTTTGGGTGGTGGGATGAACTGCTCGCCCGGAAGAACGCTGAGGGTTTAGTTGTTGCGAAGAGCCTGGCAGGTGTTGCCGATGGTTCCAAGGTCTTCAAGATGTGAGATGCGATGATATATGTACAAGTTGGAGCCCAATCCCGAATCCCAAGTGCGAAAATTATCCCTACGTGGAATCATACCACTTGAACACAAAGAGCTCTCGTCTGGAGCCCACTTTCCAAGTGTTGCCCTTGACCAGCGGTATAGTCGCGTTTAATGAATACCTCAGGTCGACGAGGACTTTCAGGACCTGCATCAGGAAATCTGATGGCTTGACTATAATCAAATTGAGAGCGTCTCAACGAACAAGAGGACGAAGAAACACACTGATAACGCCATTTTTATCGCGGACAGTGTCAACGACCATTAGATCGAGCCTCGGGTCCTCAGAAAGTTGTATTTGGCCGGGCAAGAGCCGCTCCAGTCTCGGACCAAATTCGAGCGCTACAAGCTCTGGAGGTGCGACCAACGATCTAGTATCTGCTGGTCAGTGAGCACATATGGTTCAATCGTAAGCGCACAGACATTCGCCGCCCCTTGCGTGATAAAAATGCGATGAAGAAAGAAGGAGAGCTCTCTGTGGAAGTGATCTGAAAGATCAGGCGCGGATGCTGAGGTCCGTAAGTGGCGAAGCCCAGGAGAATGTATACACGTGACCCACTGAAGCAGATCCTTTGCTTAAAGTTTTGAAGACGAAGCCCTGGACATTCGTTAAACGCATTCCCGACAACCGATCATGGTACCCACTCGGATGGCAAAAAGCGAAAACATTCTGTTGATCAGTCTCCACGCACTTGGATTGCCATCCGATGAGATGAAGGACATCCAGACAGAATAGTACCCACTAGTGGACATCGGCCCCGTTCATATTCCAAGGCGAATTCCTGAACTTAATCCTCCACGTCGACCCTCGCATCGATTCATGTTCTAGACCGTGCGGCCAGATTTTGAAGACTTCGGAGATTTCTTTCACGGCGTTCTCAAGCGTGTTCTCCAAGAGCAGCTCGCCCTCGCCTTTGAACGTCACAAACATGTGATCTGAGAATGGGTGTCCATAAGACAGATCGGATGAGGAAGATGCGCGACTAACATGCATCAGTCCTGGCGGTTACCTCACGCATCATCGGCTCATCGCCGCGGTTGTCAGCATCTGACTTGCGAGCCTTGCGCCGCCGCGTGCCAGAAGGAGGGAGAGGGGTTTGACCAAGGGCTGGGGTGGGTTCGGTTGGTGCTGCCGATCCCCCAGATTTCTTCAACGCGGATTTCAAAGGCAGCGGCGTATGCGCTGCCCGCTGACTCCGCAAGGGAGTTGCCAGATGCGGTGCAGGGTGGGAGGACGCTCCTGAGAGTTGCGTCTCGGGTACTGCGTTTGGAGGGATGAACGGGACTTGAGGCTGAATGGCAGCATATGGATTCGCAGGCGTTAACGTTGGGTATGCTGTCGTGGAAGGGCCATAGAGCGGCATGTAGCCGCTGGGTGCAGACTGCCTGTTCATGTATGTTTGATACATAGGCTGTTGTTGCTGTCCATATTGATAGTACGGATAGGACATGATCGCGTTGAGCAGGATGGGTCAAGTGGTGCACACAACGACCTTGTGAACATGAGGCAGTCACCAGATTCGGGACCGCGATAAGGATATGCTTCGACGGATCAGCTTTCAATCGCCCCAGCTCGCACGCAATAGAAAGAGGGTATAAACGCGCCCAGTCGCGCGAAACTCGTGAGCAGGTGCTAGAAGAGACGCTTCACAAAGGAACGCGTGCTTGACAAAGATTACGAGTGTCATCAACTCTATGTGACCCGTCACGGCCCGGCAGCATCGAAATCTCTATTCAGAACGCTTGACTCGACGGACAAAGGATGGCGTCCACCTTTTTACATGGGTCCGCTCTCCCGCTGCGCGAGAGTACTTCTTCAGTGTGTATGTCTTGAACCAAAAGTCGCCGATTTCATTACTCCACAGGTACACATTTCTGGGGTCCTGTTCGTCGCTTTCTTTTCCCCGGTTATTCAATTGCTCAAGTCTTGGCTAGGTCGCTAACTGGGGCCTTCCGCTCGCCGCAATAGCAGATCTATCGAAGGACGAAGAGTTCATCTCTGGGACAATGACAACAGCACTCATGAGTTACTCGTGCGTCCTTGTCCTGGCTTGCTTCGCTTTTCCGTCTTATCCTCCGATCCAGGATGGTTTTCATGCGTTTTGGTTCGTGGTTTCCACCGCCACTCTTCACTCGGAACTGACTCCTCCATGCAGCATGGCGCGTGCAGCCGCGTAATTATCTTCTACTCGCGTGCCATGGTACCAATGCTGCAGCGCAAGCATTACAAGAAACGCGCTTCGTCAATTACTGGTACTACGGGGGACGAGAGAAGAAGCTGGGTGTTTCCGTAGACCAAGTTGCCGACAAGGCCGTCGGCAAGGTCACAGAGGCCGTTAAAGCAGTTCAGGATGCGAAAAAATGATTATCAGCCCACACTAATAGTATCCAATGCTCTGCACTACCAGAAATCATCGTCACCGTCGCCAGCGCGCTTCTTTTTTCCTTTACTTTGTGCCAGTGCCTGACTCTCGTACATTTCGGCGACCTGTTCAGGTGTAGTGCTATCATCCGCTGACTTGTCGTCCCGAATCCTGACGAAGCGCGGGAATCGTAAAGAGATCCCCCGTTCCTCGACCTTACGCACATCATTAGTCAATTGGTGGCACAGCATCAGCCAAAGAACATACCAATCCTTGTGCCGCTGTATAGATTGGGCTCAGACTCAAATCAGCAGTCAACACCTCCCACACAACTTGCGGTTCGAACCAAACATCGGGTTTGGCCCCACCAGCTTTGATATCCCCGCGGACCTTTGTCAGCTCCAGAGGTTGGAGGACATTATAGTGAGACTGAAGCGCTTCTTCGCTGAAGCCTGTCCCTATCTTGCATATCGTCTGGAACTCTTCTGAATCCGGGTCGTAGCAGGCCAGCAAAAACGCGCCATATACGTTGGTGCGCTTGCCTTTGCCGTAATAGCCGCCGACGACTACTAGATCCAGGGAATCACCAACCCCGGCAAGATAGTCCTTCTTTAGCTGTTTACCAGTGAGTCTAGCGCATCTTGTGATCAAGCGGCAAACCTTCAGCCAGTTGACACTTCGTCGACTGGGCTCGTAGTAGCTCGCGTCGGTTTCCATCATTTTAACCATAAGACCCTCACACCCATCCTTGACACTCTGTTCCAAGAAAGTCTGGATCTCATCCGTTGTTTCCCCGTCTGATGATTTGGCGAAGTCAAATTCTCCGAAGACCGGTTCGAAATGTGCGCGTAGAAGTCGGCGCCTCTCCGCCAGCGGCTTTTGAATCAGCGGCTGGAGACTGTCGTTGGCTGGACGCGGCGAAAATGTTGCATGCACTGACCTCGCCATTTAAATAAAGTAGATCGAATGCAAATAGGCAAACGCGGATTTGTATATCTTCTACCTTGACGTCCTTTCGTTTCCGACGGCTGAGCTCTTGGAACGGCATCAGTTTGCCTGTCGCTCGATCGAAAGCAACGGCTTCTGCGTCAAGAACAAAGGATTCGGTGCTGTCTTTGAGGCACTGATATACAGTCAATCTTGTGGCATCAAGTTAACAGGAACGCTCACCTTGGGAAGCTGCTCCACCAAGTCAGGATACTTCTTGCTCATGTCTTCAGAGTTCCGACTAAAGACACCCAATGTGCCATCGGCCAGTCGATGGACCTGAGCTCGCTCCCCGTCGTACTTGTACTCACAAGTAAACCGTTTGCTCTCGAATCTATCGAGAACCTCCCCAATAGCCTTGGTTGGCTTTGCAAGCATAGGTTTGAGGGGGATCCCCGGGGAGAGTTTACAGTGCTCGTGAAGATTTTCGATTCCGAATTTGAGCAAGGCGGGAATCACTTCATCGTACGATGGTAGTTCGCTGAAATTCGAAGTGATCAGCATTCAAGGTTGCTGAACGAGATGATCGCCAAAACCTGTAGATGGATTTCAGGGTATCAGCACCGGCCTGCAATCTCTTGCTAAGCTTCTCGTTGCTCCATTTCTTATCGGCTAAGGACCGTCAGCAGATAGTACAAAGAGATAGAGAGTACCAGTTACCTCGGTCTCTCTCAGCAAGCACAGCAGCATGCGCGATCGCAATTATCACAGACCTCTCCGCATTTCCGATGCGTAACTTTCCTTCCAGACTTCGCACGATGTACTTTGCTTCAAAATCTTGACAGGCGGCGAGAAGCTTCGTGATGATGGAAACTTTCTTGGCTTGAGACTAGGATGCACTCAGCCCGCCGTACAAGAACCTTTGGCTGACAAGGGTCTTACTGAGTGTCCAGAGGTCAAGGCAATGTCCCGAAGATTTTGAAACACGAAGGGGAGGGTAAGGGGTTTGGGTTTGAAAAGAGTCTTCTGACTGTTTTTCGAGTTCTTGGAAACCTTGTGTGAAACAAGCATCAGGCAACGGAGAACGAACCATAGCGACTAATCCGAGATCTCCTTCTTTCTTCAAATCTGCTTTGATTACACTCAAACTCCGACCAGTGGACTCCCCGATAGCCTTGATGAGAAGACTCTCTCCGATACCCAACTCAACGCCGACGTAGTCTGGGCTCAGCTGGGGAAATGATTGGTCTCGAGTGCACAGAGACGAGCAGGACGCACTCGATTGATACACAGATACACAGCTTGAAGTAATGACTTGGAGTCTCCTTCTGCACTCCGTTGAATCACCAGATATAGAAAAGAGGTCAGCAGGGCTGTTTTCTCTAAACGCTTCGTGGTTGCTTCAATCAGCGCAAAGGTCTTCGTTAGCGCGGCGTATGGAACTCTGTCTGACAGTCAGTACAATACCATTGTAATGGTCGTCAAACGTACGGTGTCCCAACTTTCCAGCCACCTTTCACATCCACATCCCCTCTTCGCGCAAGTGCAGCCTCTGCTCTGCTATTCAGTCAGCAGTCTTTTCGAAGGAAACTTATGATTGCTCGCACATCTTAGAAGCCTCACCAGCATCAGGTGTGTCCAAGTCGGAATCCATTTCGTCATCAATCTCGACTTCGTCTTCTCCTTCGTCTGCGCTTGGAACCGCGGGTTCCGCCTCGTCTTCCTCCGATTTCACTATGGCCTTGGCTTTGCCCCGGGACTTCAGTGATTTGGGTGGAGATAACTTGTTTGAAGAGGAGGGTGATGGTTCCCTGGCTAGGAACATGCGATGCTGAGGGGGGTTTCCCGCTGGATGAGCAGGAGGATACTCACCGGCAACACCGTCGTCTTCAGAGTGCGAATCTATTATCCTCCGTCGTTTCACGCGTGAGCCACCATCTATGAGATATTAGTCTGAAATTGCCACTAAATAACGCGCTCTTATGCACCCGTCGCGTTCTCTTTCCGTTTTGAACCCGAGCTTTCGGGTTGAACATCATCTGAAGGCGTTTCCTCTTTCAGAAATCGGCTACCGGGCTCAATATGAGGCCTCGGTGCGGAATCCACTTCCATGGGAACACTTTTAGTCTTGAGCGCGTCCTGAGGCGCGTCCGTCACTTGCTTCTTTCGCCCCCACATTTCGGCAAGACTTGACTGTTGAGGAGGTGCGGCTTTCGTGGATTTGGGCATATCGAAGAATTTGCCTGCATTGTCAAATTCAGTACTATTCAGAGCGATACTTAATGAGCAAACCTAGAGTCTGCTGACGGCCCATTCGCAGATAGGTGCAGCCCGATGCAACGCGACGTGCAAGGACAAACATATACATTCAACGCGTCCCGCGTGGGAAGATGGAGTCACAGCCGAGTGGTCGCTGATTGACGCAAATGATCTGGTCAAACTGCCGAGATAAATCTGTGGGAAAGTATGACTAAGGTAACAAATGATTCCAGATAAAATATATTCTCTCAGCCATGGCCAGAAATCACCGGAGCAATGAGATGTAATTCCTCTGAAATTGACTGAACTGCTGGGATCGATCGCCTTTGTTCAGGAAGTGAGCTTGAATAAGAATTATTGAAGATAGCAACAAAACTATACAGCAGAAACGTGATGCCCGTCCTGCCTAACAAGAGTCAACATCCTCGTTCGAAAAGTCCTTTGACAGCTTTTATCGCCATCCTCAAGACCTGCTACCATGGCCGAACAGGTCATTATCTCGACACTGTCTCGATAGCTTCGTGCTGAATCCAACGCAGATCGAGAAAGCCTTCCAGAAACAGTCCATTTTCCAAAACGCCAAAGTTCGAGGTATGTGGACTCGCTTCGTATATAACGTGCTGTCTGAGCGATCACTGGTCAGGCGGTAAGAAGGTTGCTACTAAGGACAAGCGCTGGTACAAGGATGTTGGTCTGGGCTTCAAGACCCCTTCGGAAGCTATCAATGGAACATACATTGGTGCGCACCTCCATTTCTAACGGTGGGTATGATGCAAGCGAGCTACAGACAAAAAGTGCCCCTTCACTGGCGAAGTCTCTATCCGTGGCCGTATTCTGACTGGTAAGGTCATGTCGACGAAGATGACCCGCACGATCATCATCCGGAGGGACTACTTGCACTACATCCCAAAATACAGTGCGGCGACCGACGAATTCCAACTGACATGCGGTGCTGACACCGTTCTGCAGACCGATACGAGAAGCGCCACAAGAACTTGGCTGCACACGTCTCTCCTGCGTTCCGTGTTGAGGTTGGCGACACTGTAACAGTTGGTGAGTACTTTTGTTGGATCTCATTGAGGCGTCCATTGAATTTCTACCAGGACAATGTAGACCACTGTCTAAGACTGTCCGATTCAATGTTCTCCGGGTTTCGAAGAACAAGGCGGCTGCTAAGTCGTTCGGCAAGTTCTAGTATATGTAGTGCTCAGTCATTTTATCCACGCATGCAATTCCAAGCTCTTATGACTATGCATTCAATGATTGGCATTGTCGTCCCTACGCCAAGCCAACTGTTCAGAACATCTTTCAGCGCCCTGCCCAGACCTTAGATCTCAGTAGACGAGGACCATGTACGTGACATAAACGGGAACAAACACAGAGATTTCACGGGACGAGTGACTTGCTGAGTGACGGTCAAGTGGTTCAAGCTCGATTAGACGTTCATCCTGGCGCCAACATTACTCTCCGTATTTGCCTCGCGCCTTTCTAAAGGTCGACCCTCGTCGCCTCAGCCTCCGAGCATGGGCCAACAACCGTCGAAGAAGCCTAAGAAAGGCTCCAAAGACGCCCAGACAACAGCGGTGGAAGACCACGCCTCAGACACCACGCCAGACGACCCAGCGGAGAACACACCTCAAGCCAGCTTCTCACGAGCGACAGGAGCGTCAGCAGCGAACGGCACCTCATCAGACGGCGCTCCTGCGATCAGCGTCTCTGACCCGGACGGCGCGCCACTTTCGCCTGGATCATCGCAACCTCGCCCCCCGGGCTCACCTCAACTTTCCAAATCCACACCGCTGAAAGAGTCGTCAGCACCCGTGTCCACCTCTCCACAGCAATCACCGAAGGCAGCACCGGCACCCCTAGACATCCCCATCACTCAAACCATCCTCTCCAACTCCACTGCCTTTAGCCCCGGATCCGTTCCGAATAGTGCTGTGCCGGACGCGGCTTCTGGAAACGGCGCGGCTAAGGACAGGATGAAGCAGTTTGACGTGGACGACATGATCTCTCGGTTGCTCGAAGTGGGATACACTGGCAAAGTTAGCAAGTCAATGTGTTTGAAGAACGCAGAGATAACCGCCATCTGTCTTGCTGCCCGGGAAATCTTCCTCAACCAACCCACGCTCGTGGAGTTATCGCCTCCTGTCAAAATCGTTGGTGACGTGCATGGGCAATATTCTGACCTCATTCGACTGTTCGAGATGTGCGGCTTTCCTCCAGCCGCTAACTATCTTTTCCTTGGTGACTACGTCGATCGCGGGAAGCAAAGCTTGGAGACTATTCTTCTCCTGCTTTGTTTCAAGATCAAGTACCCGGAGAATTTCTTTCTGTTGCGGGGTAATCACGAATGTGCGAATGTGACTCGAGGTAAGTTCAGCACATATCCCCTGACTTTCTGTATGACGCGAGACAGTGTACGGATTCTACGACGAGTGCAAACGAAGATGCAACCTCAAAACATGGAAGACGTTCATCGACGTATTCAATTGCCTTCCGATTGCAGCCATTGTGGCCTCTAAAATCTTCTGTGTGCACGGTGGACTGTCCCCTTCGCTCAACTCGATGGACGACATCAAACGCATACAGCGACCCACGGATGTTCCTGACTACGGATTGTTAAACGATTTGTTATGGTCGGATCCTTCGGACACCGCGCTGGATTGGGAGGACAACGAGCGTGGGGTCAGTTACTGCTTTGGGAAGGGCATCATCAATGACTTCTTGGTCCGCTACGACATTGATCTCATCTGTCGAGCCCATATGGTCGTTGAAGACGGGTATGAATTCTGGAATGATCGAACGCTGGTCACCGTGTTCAGCGCACCCAATTATTGCGGGGGTCCGTGCTTTCTCCATTTGCTTACATTTAGTGCTCACGACCTCTCCTAGAATTTGATAATTACGGAGCGTGCATGAGGTATTCATTATCGTTCATTGTCAGCAGAGACGGTAACTGATATTCGAACAGCGTCTCTGAAGACTTGTTGTGTGCTTTTGAACTCCTCAAACCATTGGACGGCGCTGCCTTGCGCAAGGAAATGACGAAGGTAAAACGAAAGAGGTGCGGACATTTCTTGATGAGGCAATGCCTTTCCGCTGATGAAAGTAGTCTCATGGCCACTGCCGCTTGATACCAACCACGACAAGGCAGAGATTATGTTATACGAGTATAATCAACATTGTCGGGCATCGATCTGTGGCCAAGATGCGAAGTTCCGCATGATTTCACAGTCGTCGGAGGTGGGAGAAATCTACTGGTACTCTCACACCAGTGTCCCAGCACACGGAGCAGTCCTTGCTCATTCCCATTCCTTTCTATTTACTTTTTTGGCACAGACTTTGTATATTGTTTAGCGTTAAGGGTATCCGCTGCATCCGTCTCGGAGATTTGACAAGCTCTATTCATGGGCGATCTATCATGTCAAACACTAACACGCCAAACGCGGCCACTATCACACTACATCCAACAACACCGCCGAGAGTGACGGCCTCCATTCCCGCTCCAAAAAGAATGTCAGAAATGAAAACAAGCACGATTGTCAACAAGTTTCCGACAGATGTGATGATGGGACCCCAAGTACCGAGGAGCACCTGCAAGTATTGTGTGAGTCAGAGCAAGAGAATAGACACGGGAACAGACCATGAAGCCCGCATTGAACACCACACCGCTCAGCGCGATGCCTCCGATGGTCAGCGTCACCGCAAGGTTCGGAGGAAGAACAAAGCGTTCAACCTCAAGATGGTGCAAAATGGGAAAGCAACCTCCCAGTAACACGAGGGTGCATAACCCGATTGCGGAAGTGAGCAGATTCGGATGCAGCCCGAAAGGTGGGGAAACAACATCAGAATCTGAGGGTGGGGATTGTCGCCGATTGGATCTTCCGAAGGAAGATGCTCATATGCCGATTCGGCCAGCAATTCGGGGTCTGTCGGCAGTGCTGCATATCTCTTGTACAGAACTTGGTACAACGCGTAACCAATCGACGCGATGAGCGTCAGGAGATCGCCGACCAACGGGGCGCTTGGTTTGAACGAAGATCGAGAGATCGAGTCCGCATTGGAAGCTCTACTTCCTCCGTAAACAACGACAAGCACGCCGAGAGTAGCAAGAATGACGGCCAGAAGCCTTCGCGGCTCCCATTTGAGGTTGAAGGTCATCAGATACGCGAAAAACGCGTTGGCATTCCAGATCGCTTGGAGAAGGTGAACCGGTGATAGCGCACTTGACGCAGGAGCAGCGACGCACCAGTGACATCGCTGACGCTTGCGAGAGAGATGGCTTGGAACCACAGCAACCCAGGCATCGTGATCCCGACCGTCAGCCCGAATATCAGACGCAGGAAAGCTGCCGTCGGAAACCGATCTGTCGTGGAGACTCGCGAAGGACGAAGGTGATTCGTAATGGCCACGGAGAGGCCATTGATGTACTCAGCGGCGGAGTGTTTCGTGGTCAAGCTGAGGTACAGCAGGTGCAGCGGAAAGATGATGGCAAATGTCGAATGCACGAGGTAACTGTGTCACCAGTCCATGAGTGACCGCTTTGAGATGAGAATGTCGAGATCCGCGTACAATATGAAGAAAGGTTGTCTATATCCTAAATTCGTTTGGAGATACTGCGGGAGACTCAGTGGGAAAGATCACAAGTAAGATTGGGATGACGCACCTGAGTCAATTCACTTTCCACGACGAAGGCGACAAGCGTACAGGCGAAGAGGGCAAAGGACCAGCGCGCACCGACGTGAAGCGAGATAGTGCGGCGATCCAGGGTCAACGTAGTGCAGAGCCAGCCTCTAGACAGCCAAATTAGATCATAAACGGGGAAATGCGTGGATGCAGCGGTGCTACTCGCAGTGGCAGTGCCAGTCAGTAATTTTGTGATCCACATCCCTCCCTCGTCCGTCAACTAACAGTGCGCTAATGTGTCGTTGAAACTGCGGTCTTGATCTGATTCAACTGCAGGAGCTCAATCTCGAAATGTTCCGGGCATTGGTATCCACCGCCCGTCCACTCATCACGCGTTTTCGCTTGCTCTCACCACTTCCCTATGCTCGTGCCATGCCACTGGTGACTCGAAGCGTGGAGTTGGTTCGAGGAATGAAAGTCCGTGCTTCCATCAACCTATGTGCGATGGATGTAGCATGGTTCGGAGGAAGGTTCGTTTATATGTCATTGTGCGAAAACCCCAAGCACAAGCAGGTCCGTTGCCTTCTT